TGAAGCCTTAATGGGTCCCTGATGTGTTTTTACACAATGGTGGTGCTTGCAGGCCACCAGTAACTAAGTAAAGTCTAGGTGGACACAAGCAGTGTTGTATATGAGATACTAGTAGGCTATGGCCAACTGCAGATGATGACAGAGATAGCCCCCAGCACCACCCTGTAAGCCAAGCCTCTATGGATGGGGATGACTGGTTTATCGGTGCACCTCAACCTGGCTGTCTCAGCCTTGGCACCAAGGACATTCGGTGCCAGGTAGTCCTTCGTTGGGGGGGCTGGGGGGGGCTGTGCTGTCCATTGTACATGTTTCGCAGCATCCCTGACCTCTATCTACTGGATGCCAGTAGCTCCCTCATCCCTGTGACAACCAGTGATGTCTCCAGACATTGCTAAATGTCACTTGGGTCAGAATCACCCTCTTTTGAAATCACTGGCCTAAATTTAAAGAATGTCTTGGCACAGACATTAATGGAGATGTCATTTTGGCTATCACCGCCTGACAACATGACCCAGGCATTATCTTGTAGTTACTGCTTCCCTCTGTCACATGCTTTTCCCAGTCATTATTGTGTGCTGCTTTATAGACAGGGTCTTTTTTAAAGACAGTATAATAATCATAATCACAATAATAGACAACTTTATAGGGTATCAGTTAAGAGACTTCAGGAATACCTTAGTGAGAATTATTAGCCTGATAGTCCTGCGATCCTGGAGTAGAGACAACGGTAAAGGCTCATGGAAGACTAGAGCACATAATGGTTACTATCAGTTGCGGGGAGGGGAGAGGAATAAAGGGCAAAGAGCATATAGAAAGGAGTAAGGTGAGAAGATGTTTGCCAGTTGACCAAATAGTGTAGACATAACCTATTCTGGCACAAATGTGTGTTCAGGAAGTTCTGAATTTTATTAAGTAAACTCTGCCCTCAATGTGGGTCTCAAACTCACGGCTTTGAGATCAAGAGTCACATGTTTATAGACAAGTTTGTTTTTTTTTTTAAATCTAAATTGTGTGTCTATGAAGGAAGAAATGGAATCAGACTGTACCTTTCTGTTCAGACTTACACCCCAGCATGAATGAAGTACAGGGATTGGAACGTTATGGGTTCGTTAGTGGCTATTTACAGTTGGCAGCAATGTCTTTGTAAAGCACAGATCTGAACTTTAAACTCAACACGTGTAAAGCGCGACAACAGTGCTTTTACTCAGTACCTACAAAGTGCCCAACACTGAACTGGAATTTTTAAAATTAATATTATTCGAGGGGCGCCAGGTAGCTCAGTCATTAAGTGTCTGCCTTTGGCTGAGGTTATGATCCCGGGGTCCTGGGATTGAGCCCCACGTTGGGCTCCCTGCTCAGCAGGAAGCCGGTTTCTCCCTCTCCCAATCCCCCTGCTTGTGTTTCCTCTCTTACTGTTTCTCTAGCAAATAAATAAATAAAATCTTTTAAAAAATTGAATTAAATTAATATTATTCCTCTGATAAATCATAGTGAAATAATAGATGCTAGAAGTGGTTTTTGAGAATCAACATTTTCCCTCAATTTTAGACATCAGAAGAGCTTGTCTTTTCAATGTGTGGTTGTTTGGAAGTACTCCATGATATGTGCTAATTTCAGCTTGACTCTGAGAATGTAAAAGTCCAGAAAATTTGCCTGGAAAAAAGAAAATTTCCACCATAAAGGATTGAGCCCCCAAATTTAAGAATGTCAGAAGTTTTCAGCATTTTATCTGTATGGATTTAGAAATAATTGCATTAGCATATTGCTTAAGAGATTTGCCACACTACATGAATCAGACTTAAAATATTTATTTTATGGGATGCCTGGGTGGCTCAGTCATTAAGCATCTGCCTTCTGCTCAGGTCATGTTCCGGGGGTCCTGGGATTGAGCCCTGCATCGGGCTTCTTGCTTGGTGGGAAGCCTGCTTCTCCCTCTCCCATACCCCCTGCTTGTGTTCCCTCACTTGCTGTCTCTCTGTCCAATAGATAGATAAAATCTTTAAAAAAACATATATACATATACATATGTGTGTGTATGTTTGTTTATTTATTTAATACCCCCCATATGAACCCAACTCAGCATGGCTGCCAGGTACACAGCTGATTCACTCGTAATTGAGTGGATATTGTTGAATTGCCATCCTTAACATATTCCTGAGGAGGCGGGAATTCCTGCTATGAGAACTTTATCCACTTTTCTTAAATACACTGAGTGGAAATGAATGATAGCGCAAAAACATCTATTTTAAAAATCCAGTCACCAAGTTAACAGTGCTTATTTGGCTTTGTTTTCTAAATCACCTATTTAAATGAGAATTCAGTAGAAAGGATTTGCTGAATACCTTGTTGATAAGCATTTGTTGAGTAGTGATTGCCGGTAATGCCTAAATCATACCATCCAAGGAGATTAAAACAATTCTGAGCCTTTGAGGAAAGAATGTCAACATTCTTAAATGATTTAATCTATACCTTCATCATGAATCCCCCTGTGTATAGACAGAAGGCTGGACTAGGTCTGTGTTTCCTGCTTGCTGTCTTTAAGAATTATGTGGGGAGGGGCGCCTGGGTGGCTCAGTCGTTAAGCGTCTGCCTTTAAAATCTTAAAAAAAAAAAAATTACGTGGGGAGGCTGTTAATACATCTAATTCCTAGGGTTCTATCTTAGAGATTCTAATTCAGCATTTCTGGTGCAAAGCCTGAGAATGTGTTTTTTTTTTTTTTTTTTTTTTTTTTTTTTTAAGACTTTATTTGTCAGGGAGAGAGAGAAAGCACAAGCAGGGGAAGCTGCAGGCAGAGGGAGAAGCTAAACCCCCCGCCGAGCAGATAGCCTGACTTGGGACTGGGTCCCAGGACCCTGGGATCATGACCTGAGCCAAAGGCAGCCGCTTAACTACTGAGCCACCCAGGCATCCCAAGAATATGTATTTTCTTTTTTAAAGATTTTATTTATTTATTTGACAGAGAGAGATCACAAGTAGGCAGAGAGGCAGGCAGAGAGAGAGAGAGGGAAACAGGCTCCCTGCTGAGCAGAGAGCCCGATGCGGGGCTCGATCCCAGGACCCTGAGATCATGACCTGAGCTGAAGGCAGCGGCTTAACCCACTGAGCCACCCAGGCATCCCAAAGAATATGTATTTTTAATACCCTCTCCTCTCCCTCCTCTTCAGGAGCAGAGAGATGTTAATGATGAGGCAGGTAGGGGGTTTGGTCACTGGATTTGGTTTCTTTGGAAAATGCCATCACTGCCTCTCTATTCTACCCTTTCACTTGCTTCCCTAATCCGGGCCTTCTCTAGCTGGGGACGCATATAGAATGCAAACTCTGAACACCCAAAATCGTGGATCTTAGTCTTCCAATTGCTACCACTCCTTGTTTGAATATCTAAGTTTAAACTTTTTATTTTAGGTAATTACAGATTTACATGCTGTTGTAAGAAATAACACAGAGAGATCCCATATGTCCATCATCCAGTTTGTTTCAGTGGTACTGTCTTGTGAAACTGTGGTTCAGTATCACAGTCAGCACATAGACTTTTGATACGGTCTAGATCCAGAACATTCCCATCAATCCAAGCATCCCTCAGGCGGGTGTGGATGGCTGATGCACTACAGAAACTTATTTTTCACAGTTCCAGATGCTGAAAGTCCGAGATCAGGGAGCCAGCGTGGTTGCCTTCCTCATTCATAACTGGTACTTTCTCAAAGTATCCTCTTGGTGGAAGGGGCAAGGGATCCTTCTGGAGCCTCCTTTACTTGGCACTAAACACATTCATGAGGGTTTCACTCCCATGACATAAGAACTTCTCACAGGTCCTGCCTCCTAATACCATTATCTTTGGGGTTCATATTCAGCATGAATTTGGGGGGGAGGGACACAAACATTGAAAGCATAGCCCCTCACTTTGGCTTTCTATAGCCACACCTGCATCCCTCCCCCCCACACCCTACCAATCCAGCCTTAACTCCTACAACACAAATTTGTTTTCCGTATCTATCATGTTGTCATTTCATGAATTATATAAATGGAGTCATGCAGTTCATAATCTTTTGCGACCGACTTTTTCACCCAGCATAACCCTGGAAATTCGTCCAAGTTGTTACATGAACCAATAGCTTATTCCTCTTTGTAACTGAGTATTGCTGTGTGATAGGGATGTAGCAGAATTTAACCACTCACCTGTTGATGGACATCTGGCTGGTTTCTAATTTTGGACTGTTACTCATGAAGCTGCTACCAACATTGGAACAGAACATTCCTGTACAAGTTTTGTGTGAACATAAATGCTCATTTCTCTGGGGTAATGCCCAGGAGTACAATTGCTGGGTTGCATAATAGTTGCATGTTTAATCTTTTAAGAAACTGCGAAACCGTATTCTGGAGTGAGGGTACCGTTTTACATGCCCACTGACAGTATATGTGTGATCCAGTTTCTCTGTGACTTAGCCAGCATTTGGTATTATTTTTTTGTTTGTTTTAGTCATTGTGGCAGGTGTGTAATAATATTTCATTGCGGTCTTTGTATGCGTTTTCCAGATGACTAGTAATGTTGAACATCTTTTTCTGTGCTTATTGCCATCTGTATGTCCTTTTGAGAGGAATGTGTATTCTGCTGTCGTTGGCTGGAGTGTCCACAAATCCTCATTAAAAATGTTGGTTGATGTATTGTTGAGTTCTTCTGTGTCCTTCCTGTCTAATAGTTCTATTAATCACTGAAAGAAGGGTGTGGAAGTCTCCAACCATAACCGTGAATTTGCCCATTTCTTCTTTCAGTTCCATCAGTTTTTGCCTCCCGTATTTTACATCTCTGGTGTTTGGTATATGCACATTTAAGATTGCTGTGTCTTGCTGGTTGATTACTGCTTTATCTTGATGCAGTATCCTCTATCTCTAGTACTTTTCTTTGCTCTGAAGTCTACTTTATCTGATATTTTCAATTAATTTTGATTCTCTGATTTGGGTGTCTTATAATAGCCTCTTTCTTTCCCCTCTCCTCTTTTTTTAGGAGTATATCATTCGGGTACAAAGAGGAATTTCAGCAGAAAACAGTTGGCAGGTAAGCATTTTTTTTGTCCCTAGAAAAATGTTTAACAGTTTAAATAAAAGTCTGACTCAGGTTATCCAAAAATGTGGGAAAACCAAAACATGCATAAATATAAATCCTGTTTCTTTTGGATATAAACCTTCCAGCTTTAAGATTTATATCCAAAGGGTTTTCTGTTCCCATTTGTTTGGTTTAATTTGTATATGATGTTACCACAGAGAATATCTAGGAATTTGTTCTCTCGTTTGACCCAGAGTAAGATAGATAGTAGGTAGATTACTTGTTTTGTTCTTAGTAATTCATACTTCTCCCCTGCAGCCACGTGTAGGTGGGGCCCTTTAGAGTGAGGTCCATCGGATGGAAAGGCTAGAGGGGACCCTGGACATCGTACAGCTCAGAGCCTGTGCATTTCATGGACTCCCCATGGACTCGCCATATAGCCCTAGGGTCTGTGCTCTTCGGTAGTGGAAGGAGAGTAAAAACTGCCTACTTAGACCCAGAAGTCCTTCCTTTGTCAGTTGACTTGCAGAGGGTGGGTGACTTCTCTCTAGGGGCCATTTTTTCTTGCTTTTGTAATTATAATTACCCTCCCCCTTCTCTGCTACAAAACAGCGTACCTTGTCCTTCAGGCCTGAATCTTAGCTCTCACCCTAAGCAGTCTTGGACCACAGCGGTCCACACTTGGTCTTCTCTTTGCCCGAATTTTCAAACTGTTTATTATATTATTATTATTATTATTTGTTTATTTGAGGGAGAGAGAGAGTGAGAGAGAGCATGAGAGGGGAGAAGGTCAGAGGGAGAAGGAGACTCTCTGCAGAGCTGGGATCCTGATGCAGGACTCAATCCCGGGACTCTGGGATCATGACCTGAGCTGAAGGCAGTGGCTCAACCAGCTGAGCCACCCAGCGCCCTCAAACTGCTTTCTGCGTGAATAGTTACACTATTTAACATCTCTTGGACATTTGTTGTCAGGCACTGATTCAGGCACATTAATTCACTCAACCCTTTAAAAATAGTTCTGCACTATGGAGCTCTCTGTTTTACATTCAAGGGTTACTAACTAGGCAATGGTCACACACAAATCAGGGACAGAACAGGGTTGGAATCTGTATTCGCCATGATTAACCGCTATGTACTTTGCACTTCTGAGGGATGGCCTTCTATTTAACTCTTGGATGTGTATTTGACAAGCAGGGCAAGAGCATTGTCCTACCAGGGAAATCAATCCTTGGGGTAGTTTTCCAGATACAAGGCATTAGAATCCTGGGGATACTTCCCCAAAACGTAGACTCTTGGGCCCCACCGTGGACCTACTGTGGGATATTTCTCCGAGGGCAGAGTCCTAGAAGATTGGTAGGTAATTCTGCTCACTAATATTTGAGAGTCCTCAACAAGCGTTGAAGTCAAATCATTCAAAAGCAAAATAATTTCCTTGCCCAGAGCCTGAAGAGCTAGTGGAATTTGACTCTGGCCTAATCAATGCCATCAGCATAACTAAGAAAGAATGTATAGACAATGGAAAGTGGACTGTCTACCGAGAGGGGAAACACAGGGAATTGGGAAAGGTGTGGCCTCTCTGCCTGCAGATACAGTCCTATCTCTAGAATGGTGGGTTCTCAACTGGGGGAAGTTTTATCCAGGGCAAGGATGAAGGGCCTCAAAGCTGTTCACTTCCTTTTACTTTGATTTCATGTTCAGTAAAAATTTTTTGGGTGGGGGCATAAATCATTAATTCATCTTTCCAGGTGCCTGCTTAATGAGAAAGATATTTAAAGGGCTATTCACCCTAAAAACAAATACATCATCATTCTCTTTTACCTATTGGCATCTTGTGTGTTTGACTGGTGTTAACCGATTTCCCATGGGCCCAGCTAGCTCTGGGCACTGATAGGTCTGTTTTCTGGGCCTGTCAGTTGAGCATGTTAAGCACCCAGTGTAAGCCCTACTACCTTTAGTTCAAGTGCCTCAGCCCTAGAATGCCAATAAATATTAAATAAGGAAATGAAAGAGGTGGTCTTTACCGAATGAAAACACCGCTGTCTTGTCTTACAGATCGTTAGGAGATACAGTGACTTTGATTTGCTGAACAACAGCTTGCAGGTACGTATTTGAAAACACTAATGACACACGGTCATTGCTTGGGGTGTCCTAGAAACTGGTTGGAAAGGGCGGTATCAAGAACAAAAAACTAGCAGATCTTCCTGGTGGAGGATATAGACTTACACTTTAAACAGATGATGTGTGGCTCTAAAAATAAACTTTGGGAAATAAACATCTGATTTACAATAGTCACAGGCAAGTGAGTCCCTGTGTGCGAGATGACATCCTTAAGACAGTCATGGGATGCTGTGTGTCCTCTCTTCCGCACAGATAAGGAATGACTGGCTGGGTTGCTAGAGTCATTCACTTAGAGCTGGGACTGTCTCAGACTCTCACCGCTGAGCTAGACTGCATAGTCAGCCTTGCAGATCAATACTCAGCAGAAGCTAGAGATAGCCTTTTTCAGTGTAACTTTTTTCTCTTAAATACCTATTTCTAACTCCCTTTGATTTAAATGTTCCTAACTTGGTGGCCACAATGGAAAGAGGGATGAGCTGCAGAATCTTTTCTGGAAATAGCTGTGCTGGTCATGATGGAAGGGTCTTAGAGGGGCGTTAGCACCATAGTAAGTACTGGCAGTAGCACCCACATCCCCATTCAGCAGATTGGTCTTTAAGGGCCATGGGTGATTGCAGACCACTGGGCCTGGGTCATATCTCAGATGATTGATAACGTAAACCCTGAGCAGGTGTGCTTGGCTTATGACCAGTTCAGCCAGGAGGTGAAGCACTGCTCTCCCTTCATTGATGTCATCACTTATTACCTAGTCTGAGTGACCGCTGGTCCTGTCCACAAAGGTCAGGAGGACTGCTGGCTGAGGGCGAGCACATGCTTCCTTTCCTTCAAAATGCCATGGTTATTGATCAGGCTTTGGAGAACAGTATATGTAGAGTCCAAACTACAATATTATTTACAACCCTGCTGAAAACAGAAATGGCTAACTTGGTCTCTGATAGAATTGGCCTGAGTGTCTGCAGACCTTTATATAATTGACAGATGGTCGTGCATTTGACAAATTGTGTCTCTTTAAATTTTAATTATAGTATGACCAATTTAAATCTTCAGATAAAATATTGGGAGAGATCAAATTCTCCTTATTGATGGGTTTAATTGGTTTCATTTATGGATTTTTATAGCATATTCTTTCCACTTAGACAAAAGCTGGGTCTCTGATGATGTGGATAAGGCACCAATGTGTAGTTCATTCCAGCAATGGATTTTCTCTAGAAGTCTCTCCAGACGTTCCCAGGCAGCATTTCCACAGTGGCATTTGGGAGTTAACATCAAGCCTACTATGTGTTTTCACCTTGATGCACAAGAGAACCTTTGTCCAGTGATCTTCATACAGTGTCATTCAGCCGGGATTGAGGAGGACTCATGGGAGGAAGGGCTCTGAAATTGAAATTGTCTAGGCCTAGCCCCCAAGAATGGGTTGGGGGGGAGAGGGTTTTTTGCCCTATTTGTTTTTGCTTAGGGGATGTAAGGTTGGATCTCTATGATGATTCAGTTATGGCCTTTTTAATATAATAGAATTTTATTTTTGCTTCAGTATAATTTTCCCTTTGAAAATAGGCACTTTCACTGTGCATTTTATTTCAAATGCAAATATCCACGTGTATTGATGTTGGCTTATGCTGGGCAGGATATGGCCAGACATCATTTCAGTGGGAGGTTTTTCTAGATCCAAGTAAACAAACAGAAGAAAGTACATACAGCTTTTTGGCAAGAAAATAATTTCAAAACAACCTCCATAAAACAGACCAAAAAGACTCTAAAAACCACAAAATAAAACTGTGACCATGCTTGTTAGTGTCTGATTACCCTTTCTGATGGATAAATGAGTTCCTGCTGAAGAAAGAGAAATATAATACACATATGCAGAGTTGTCTGTCTCCAATAGGAGAGATGCCAAAGTGGAAAAAAAAAAGCAGAATGTAAAATTATACATGCAATATAATAGAATTACATTAAATGTTTAGAAAGAAAGATTAGAGGGGGATATGCCAAACTGTTAACAATGGTAATCTCCAGGTGGCAGGACTATGGGTTTTATGGGTTTTTTTCCTGGCTCTTTATAGTGTTTTGTACTTTCCAAGTTCTCTATAAACAAGCAGATGTAAGCCAAATAAGCAAAGCTAAGGAAGATGCATTTTCATAACTTTATATAATGAGCATATTTTGCCTTAAAGAAGAATCACTACCTTATTTTAAAGATTTATTTATTTACTTTAGAGAGGGAGAGAGAGTGCATGTGAGTGGGCGGGAGGCAGAGAGGGGGACAAGCAGACTCCCTGCTGAGCCGGGAGAGCCTGCCAGGGCGGGCAGGAGGGTTGCCAATCCCACGACCCTGAGGTCATGACCTGAGCCAAAACCAAGAGTCAGTTGCCCAACTGACTGAACCACCCAGGTGTCCTTGAATCACTAACTTATTTTTTTTTTTATTTTTTTTTTAAAGATTTTTTTTTTTTTAATTTATTTGACAGACAGATCACAAGTAGGCAGAGAGTCAGGCAGAGACAGGAGGAGGAGGCAGGCTCCCTGCTGAGCAGAGAGCCCGATGCGGGACTCGATCCCAGGACCCTGAGATCATGACCTGAGCCGAAGGCAGAGGCTTTAACCACTGAGCCACCCAGGTGCCCCACTAACTTATTTTAAAGGCAACATGAAATGAGTAACCATCCAGGGAGACCACATACAGCAAAACAAAAGAGAGGACTGAGAGCTGAAATGATGGGAAATGAGATGGGAATCCTCATGTTGGGAAGGAGCCCAGACCCTGACCCTTTCAGCGGGGAGACCTTGGGTCATTTATTTTCCCTCTCCATCCTCACTTTCCCCATCTGAAACAAGGGGTAGAACCAGGTGACTTCTCATGTCTGTTGTAGCACGGGTGCTTTGTGATTTGAATTTCATTGCCTGCTGTTGATATAGGAGAGACTCTGCGGTACACTGGGGGGATATTGGGACAAATTAAGGGTTCGTTGAAAACTTAGAACTCCCTAGAATACTCATTGGAATATGGTTGAAGGCAATTTGTAGACCATTGAGATCTGATCATGAAAATGAAGGATTAAAAGATTAAATCCTTAGGGCGCTTGGGTGGCTCAGTGGGTTAAGCCTCTGCCTTCAGCTCAGGTCATGATCCCAGCGTCCTGGGATCAAGCCCCACATCGGGCTCCTGCTCAGCGGGTAGCCTACTTCTCCCTCGCTTTCTGCCTGCCTCTCTGCCTACTTCTGCCTATTTGTGATCTCTCTCTGTGTGTGTCAAATAAATAAATAAATAATCTTAAAAAAAAAAAAGATTAAATCCTTTGAAGGATTAATCCTTTGAAAGTTCCTCCTCCAGACAGAACTAGTTTTCTTGAAACTACAGTATACTTTGTCATGTACTTTAGAGGCCTCTATGAGCGGGTCAGATTATGGGATCTAGACCTCACTTTGGCGATTATTCCCCTTTGTCTTATCACTCTAAAATGGATGTGTCTTTGGGGACTTCTCCACTGACTTTCTTATTCAGTACACAGGAACTCAAGAAGGGAATCCATAGGACATGTTAAAGAGGAAAGCTCTCAAAAATGGGATGGTGAGGGGCGCCTGGGTGGCTCAGTGGGTTAAGCCTCTGCCGTCGGCTCAGGTCATGATCCCAGGGTCCTGGGATCAAGCCCCGCATCGGGCTCTCTGCTCAGCAGGGAACCTGCTTCCCCCTCTCTTTGCTTACTTCTCTGCCTACTTGTGATCTCTGTCAAATAAATAAATAAATAAAATCTTTTAAATAAATAAATAAATAAATAAATACATAAATAAATAAATAAAATGGGATGGTGAGCTGTCATGGTTTGAAGCCATCAGTGTGGAGGTGTCTAGGAAATCATTGCCTAGAGACTTGATTGCTCTCTGTACTAATATTCTCTTTCCCTCCCTCCTAATGAGTCATTGGACTTCTAAACTTTATATTCTATAATTGGCAAACATTTTAGAAATTCTGGGAGAAAGCTGAAAGAGTAAGTATCTCTCGAATGCTAGTCGTTTTTAAAAGGCAAGCTTTTAAAGTAACACACATATTACATGCTAGTAATGCTTGTAGAAATATTTATTGTGAGATCTTCATGCAGAGCAGGAAACAACCTCCAGTCTGTCCAGCTGACCAGTGTAGTAAACATAGCAGAGATACTATAATTGCAGCTGTTGGCAAAGAATACTTTGTTTCACCTGATGATTTGGGATCAGGTGATGGGATGAGCTGATGGGATGTCTGGGCAGATCAATATATTTTCCTAAAGTGAAATGAAGCTTGAACAAATAGATTGATGGAAGCTTGGAGGCCACAAAGTTCAAAACAAATACCTTATCGAACTCATTTTCATATCCTCACCATGAATGAGAAATAGCCCTGTTGGGGTTTGAATCTGATGATATAGATGTGACTCTCCATTCTGTTAATTTTTTTTAAAAAGATTTTATTTATTTATTTGACAGAGATCACAAGTAGGCAGAGAGGCAGGCAGAGAGAGAGAGAGAGAGAGAGAGAGAGAGGTAGGCTCCCTGCTGAGCAGAGAGCCTGATTCAGGGCTTGATCCCAGGACTCTGGGATCGTGACCCGAGCCCAAGGCAGAGGCTTTAACCCACTGAGCCACTCAGGCACCTCAACTCTCCATTTTGAGTCATGTGGATTTCATCTGGGTGTGCTGTCAGGCGGGTAGTGCAGGCAAACGGGCTGATATTGGTACACATGTATACACACACACACACACACGCATATCTATGTATATATAATACATAATATAAATACATATACATATGTAATATACACACATATACACATATAAATATATATATGAAATATATATAATATTTAAGATTTATTTATTTGAGAGAGAGAGAGACAGAGCATGGGGAGGAGGGACAGAGGGAGAGGGAAAGAGAATCTCAAGGAGCTGTCCTGAGCAGAGTCTGATGCGGAGCTCAGTCACGGGACACTTTTAAGACTTTATTTATTTATTTATCTGATAGAGAGAGAGAGCACAAGGGAAGGGGAAGGGACAGAGGAAGAGGAAGAGGGACAAGCAGACCCCCAGCTGAACAGAGAGCCTGACTCAGGGCTTGATCCCAGACCCCGAGATCATGACCTGAGCTGAAGTCACTTAACTAACTGAGACACCCAGGTGTGCCACCCCACCCCAAACTTAACCGACTGTGCTTTGTCATGGTAATTTTTAAGAATCCTTGCTGTGTATATAGTCAGTTTGATAAGCATGTATTTTTCTTTCCTTTTTAATTAAAAAAAGTGGTAAATGAGAAATGTAAACATTTCATAGTATAGAAAATTTATTTATTTTTAAAAGAGTTTATCGATCTATTTGTCAGAGAGAGGGAGAGAGAGCACAAGCAGAGGGAGAGGCAGGCAGAGGGAGAAGCAGGCTCCCCGCTGAGCAGGGAGCCTCATGTGGGACTTGATCCCAGGACTCTGCGATCACAGCTTGAGCCAAATGCAGATTCCTAACCAACTGAGCCACCCAGATGCCCATAGAAAAATTTATTGACCAACCCACTCCCAGAGGTAACTGTTCTCAAGGAGGTAGTGTGAGTCCTTTTAGACATTTTTTTCATGCATATATAACCATATCCATGGGCTTAAACGTACACATACATGAATGCACACACACAAATGAGATTGTATTCTGCAACTTAAGAAAATAATTTTTATTTATTATTATTATTATTTTTTAAGATTTTATTTAGTGGTACCTGGGAGGCTGATGGTTAAACGTCTGCGTTGGGCTCAGGTAATGATTCCAGGTTCTGGGATAGAGTCCTGTGTCAGGCTCCGTGCTCAGCCCCACTCCCTTCTCCCTCTCCCTCTGTGTGTTCTCTCTCTCTGAAATAAATAAGTAAATCTTAAAAAAATAAAATAAAGAATTTATTTGAGAGCAGGAGTGCATGCAAGGTGGGTGGGTGGAGGGATGGTAGGGTAGGGAGCTGATTCCCAGCTGAGCAGGGAGCCTGATGAGCAGGGCTTGATCCCAGGACCCTGGGATCATGACCCGAGCCCAAGGCAGATGCTTAACTGAGCCACCCAGGCGCCCCCGTAAAAGAACTTTTAAAAGAAATATCAGTTGTGTTTTTAGTAGTACCTTTGATTATTCTATATTACTCAATGCTCTGGAACAACAACATCAAAATAATAATAAAGTGATTCACTTGGATGTGTACTAGCTGAGTGATGTGCTTTCTTCTTAAGTATGCTTTTTATTTAGTTAATAAAGAAACTGCTATTTGGTAAAGCCTAATTGTATGAATGAGGAAAATGACTTGAAATACATGTCTTATCTGGCAGTGAATTATGCCATGATAGAAAATTCATTCTAAGTATGCTCTGACACATTTTCATAATTATGTTGGAGAAATAGGCAATTTAGAATTATCAGCCAACCTTTTTGTCTTGTCCAGTGTTGAGTTCAAGGTCTTCACTGTTTGACAAATATAGAGTGGAACAGCTAAGTTAGGTTTGTCCACATGGGTGGTTTAGATTACATCCTTTCCTGAATTAAAGATGCCCTTCTCTTGAGACCTTCCCATCAATCAATATGCATGTCTCACTTGGGCTATTCTAATCTAAGCATAAATATAGAGTACAACTGCTCTTTGAAAGTGATTTTGCTCATTAAATTAAGATACCAATCTGATACTTTTTTTAAAAAAGATTTTATTTGTCAGAGAGCGCGCATGAGTGCGCACAAGCAGGGGGAGCAACAGGCGGAGGGTGAAGCAGGTTCTCTGCTGAGCACGGAGCCTGATGTGGGACTTGAGCCCAGGACCTTGAGATCATGACCTGAGCCAAAGGCAGGCACTTAATAAACTGAGCCACTCAGCTCCCCACTAAGGAACACTTATTTTTTTTATTTTTTATTTTTTTTAAAGATTCTTAAATTTATTTATTTTTGATACAGAGAGAGAAAGAGTATGAGCAGGGGGAGGGGCAGAGGGAGAAGCAGGTTTCCCGCTGAGCAGAGAGCCTGATGTGGGGCTCAGTGCCAGAACCTTGGGATCATGACCTGAGCCAAAGGCTGATGTATAACCAACTGAGCCACCCCAGCTCTCAGGAACACTTAAAAAAAATTTTTTTTTAATTTTATTTACTTATTTGATAGATATCATAAGTAGGTAGAGAGGGAGACAGAGAGAGGGGGGAAGCAGGCTCCCAGCTGAGCAGAGAGCCCGATGTGGGGCTTGATCCCAGGATCCTGGGATCATGACCTGAGCTGAAGGCAGAGGCTTTAACCTACTGAGCCACACAGGCAACCCTCAGGAACACTTTTAACATAAAAGATAACAGTGAAAACAAACAGGAAAAAAAGAAAAGAACCTTCAGGAAGCAGAATATATGCATTAAGAGGAACATCTCAGGCTCTTCAGAAAAATTATATTTTATGATCTCAGATAAGAAATTGCATTACATTCAGGATGCTATTAAAGAAAAGAAAGAGTAATCAGAAATTAAAAAAAAAAAAAGATAATGGAAGTGAAACCTCTGGGGTGCCTGGGTGTGGCTCAGTGGGTTAAGCCTCTGCCTTTGACTCAGGTCATGATCTCAGGGTCCTGGGACCCAGCCCCGCATCAGGCTCTCTGCTCAGCAGGGAGCCTGCTTCCACCTTTCTCTCTGCCTGCCTCTCTGCCTACTTGTGATCTATCTCTGTTTGTCAAATAAATAAGTGAAATCTTTAAAAAAAAAAAGAAAGAAAGAAAGAAATGAAACCTCTTTAGAAGAGCTGAATGATAAAGGAACTATTCCTGAAGATTTTTTCAGTAGGAAAAAAATATTGCCTAATAAAGGTGGAAAATAGGAGAGAAAAGGTGAGAATAGAGGACCAGTCCAGAAGACCGAACACTGGAATAAGAGTTCCAGGAAAAGAAGGCAAAGGGTACAGAGGGGAAGAAATAATGACCTAATACCAGAAAATACCAAAGAACAGAAGGATGTTTGTTTCCAGATAGAAAGGGCTCAGTACGCAACGCAGAGGGTGAAAATAGATCTGCAGAGAGGCCCATGGGATTCACAAACTGGGGTCAAGGAGAAGACCCTAGAAGCTTATAGGGGGTGGGGTGGGGGCATGGAACAAAAATGGAAGCAAAAATCTACTGCTAATAGCACCGAAGCTAGAAGACAATAAAGTAGTTTTTAAAGATTCGGGAGGAAAAATATTTCCAACTTAGAATTCTACATCAAGATTCTCTATTATTCAAGTGTGAGGGTAGAATAAAGACATTCACACATGCAACTTTAAAAAAAAAAAATTGATTTCCCTGGCTCCCTTTTTAGGAAGCTGGCAGAGGGTATCCTCACTAAAAATCCGGGATTCTTCTACAAAAAAGGAATGTATGGATCTAGAAGTGGGGTTCAGCAGGAGACAGGCAAGAGCATCCTCGTGTGATGTGCCAGGATGCCAGCCTGCAGGGGGAGGGACCACCAGTCCTGCTTGGAGCAGGCAGTCCTCAAGAAGATGAAACTGATGCGTCTTTGTGTCTGAATATGTTGAGAAAATGCTTAGAGAGTTTGGAGTTGAACAGAAAACTAAAACAAACAAAAAAAGACCAGTTGATAAAAAGGAATTGTAAGCATGGCTTTCTGGCTCTGTGGTGCAGATCACCTAATGTAAACAGGAATATTGCACTAAATAAAATTATAACTATATTGGAGGGATTAGGAATAGGTTGCATGTGGGGTGAGAAGAGGATTGTGAAAGAGAACTTAATCCATAATGGGAAATTAATAGATTAATACCTAATAGTGAAAATCAATTCATGATGAACCCTATGCCAAAAAGATGGGCTGAGAGAATTTGATGTGGCTGTCTCTGGGGAATGGATAATGGCTTGGTCACCTGTTGGCAGAGGTGGTTGGGGGGGGAGTGTCGCAGGGCTGCTAATAATAAAAAGACTCTGAAATTATGTTCATATATAAGTTTGATAGAAAAACTTAAAAAAAAATTAAATTTGGGGGCCCCTGGGTTGCTCAGTGGGCTAAGCCTCTGCCTTCGGCTTAGGTCATGATCCCAGGGTCCTGGGATTGAACCCCATGTCGGGCTCCCTCCCTGCTCAGTAGGTAGCCTGCTTCTCCCTCTGCTTTTGTTCCTTCTCTTGCTGTGTCTTTCTCTGTCAAATAAATAAATAAAATCTTTTTAAAAAATGACATTTTAAAGTTGCTATGCTTCATATAGCATTTTATGAATTCTGAGTGGCAGTTTTTTCACATTTTTATCATAACACTGAAATCAGTATGCGTCTCAGTGAAATGTAGTGGCTCAGGATTCTGATATTATATCTTCTGTGGGGATGACAGGAGTATAATACTTTTTCTCTTCTAATTAAAGATTGCAGGCCTCAGTCTACCTCTTCCTCCCAAAAAATTGATTGGTAACATGGACCGTGAATTCATAGCTGAGAGGCAGAAAGGTCTGCAGAACTATCTCAACGTTATCACCACAAATCATATCTTGTCTAATTGCGAGCTGGTTAAGAAGTTTTTAGACCCAAACAACTACTCTGCAAACTACACTGGTAAGCAAAGCGATCTCTGAGGTATGGTTGCATGACTGTAGAGACACTGTTCTTTGCTGGTGACAACATGTGGGAGAAGTTATTTCCAAATGGGTCTGTGTGTACATTTGTTATAGGGCATTATCTGCTTATTAATACTTTACCCAATTGTAATTTACTGTAAGAGTGTAAGAAGAAGATGATTACTTCTAAAATGTTTGTGATGTTTGCACAGAAGAATATGAAAGAGAAGTTATTGGGTCCTATACTTAGTCTTGTCTTTCTTATCTTCCCTGACAGAAAAGAAAGTAAATAATCCACAATAATCTGTACCATACTCTCAATTTGATTTTTATTTGGGTCTCTTTCTGTAATTTACAACATACGGTATGCCTGGTTTTTCTGGGTATTGCTTTATACCAAGTGGTTCCAAAGGGTCCTTTCTGTGTCTTCCCATTTGCCCCCAAGGCAAAGCCTGAGGAGGAGCTAGTTTCTTCCAGACCTTCCCTGGATCAGTCAGGGGACTGAGGTGGAAAGGGTGCCAGTTACACACAAAGCTAGCGTCAATGACCTAAGCTTCTTGTCAGCAGAACGAGTGATTAAACATTCAGTGTTCCCTGGTGTGGCCTTGAAGAGACCAATGGAAACCGTCATAGAACTGAACCAGTGACTAGAATTCGACTGATTTTTTAAAGCTGAGCCATGCTTAAAGTCTTAGTGGAACTCTGGGTATTTTTAATAAGCTGATTTCCTTGCTGAGAGAATAGATTGTGTACATGTTACATTTCAGGTCCTCAAAACACTACTTTTTGAAGTAATTAGAGGAAGGCGCTTTTATACCTGTTTCAGAGAGAGGAAAATAGGGGACTGCTTGTCGCCCCTCAAGGGAGGGCAAGGGAGCTTTAAAAAATTCTGATGCCCAGGTACTCATGCCAATTAAATGAAAATCTCTACGGCAGGTTGTGGGGGGGCGTGTAGTTTGGAAAGCTCCCCGAGAGATTGCAGTACGGGGCCAGAGTTTGAAAACCATAGCCCTGGACCTTGTTCCTCATATCCCAGTATGGTCCTCTGACCGACAGCATTGGGATCACTGGGAGCTTGTCAAAAATGCTGAATTCAGGCCCCATCCCAAACCTACGGGTCAGGATCTGAGTTTATCAAAGTCCCAAGGTGATTTGCCTGCACATAAAGGCTGAGAAGCCTTGCTATAGAATGTACCTCCTGTCTTCTAATGGAAGTACCTGCAGAGGTAAGAAAAATGCCTTCTAGAATGCAATCAAGTGAAGGAAAGTTTCTTTCAAACTCACATTTACTCTAATTGACAAAATGGAGCATTACGTTATTACAAGGCTGTCATTCTTCCCCCCGGTTATTTCTTGGTTCACCTAGGAGAAAAGGTATTACAGGTCAGGGGCTTCCAGGAGAGCGTAACTCCTTCCAGAGCAGCATCTCTTGTGGCCTGCAGTCACCATGCTTCACCTCCATTGTTCCCCACAGCGTCTGATGGCGAACTGTCTGGACCGACTGCTATCAGATCAGCCCTAACCTAGCCCCTTCCATTGGTCTGTCCCTGTATTTCCCGAGAGTGTCTGCGCATGTGTTCCCTCAGGGTGCAGTGCGCATAGGCTGATGCGGCCCGATCTGGAGACCTTCCCCGTCCGCTCTGCGTGTGCCCTGTGCCGGGTACGGGCCAGGCTGGTGGGGGCGCGGGTGCAAGGAAGACGTGCTCGGCGAACACTGAGTTACGGGGGGTCAGAGCTAGGGGACATTTTGGAGCAGGCATACCCAAACTAACGCTTTCATTCCATAGGCAGGAGGTCACCTGAGAGGAAAGGCCTTACCTTGCTAGGGTGCACATGCGTTGGACTGTGCAAGTGTACAATGTCTGAGTGTTTTCCAATTAAAATGCTGCTTTGCCCCTGGAAGAGGATCTGATCCCTGTATTTCCCGCTGTACCCCCTCACAGGCTGCTGTTGTACTTGATCTTTTCTGTCCCCCTGCTCCTGCCCCTGGCATGGCAGACAGTCAAGAGTCCAAAGCAGATGTGGGCAGAGATCTAAGAAGGCTGCCAGGAGCTCCCACCGGGATCCAAATGCTCAAGAAGCTGCTGCTATTTAGAGAACAGAGCCCCGTAATAAAATAATAGGGGATGGATGTGTTTTCAGAGAGATGCTGATATATAATTCAGAGACTGCCCCCTTTGAATGAAACATCAGAACTTGCCTTGCCTTTAGGCTGACTCACTAGCAGCCTCAGGAAAGGGAAGCCCAGGCAGCCTCCTCTGCACCAGCTTGACTGAGCCAAATCCCCAGAAAACCAGGCGGACTTGTCCGGCTTCCTGCAGCTCAAAGCTCGGCCTCTGATTCCCAAGTGCACTCTGTGTACCGCCACCCTATGGCTCCTCTCTGGGCAAGGCCACTGCCCCCTTCATATGGGTAAGGTCGCCACCTCTTACCGTTTCCTAATGGCCCGTGGTCACTACCCACTCCACTTCAGCGGGATCTGAGATCTGTGCTCATGTGACAGAAGTCACCAAGGCCGCTTTTCCTGCCTCTTGCTCTGAGGTTGAAGATGCCTGGTTGGAGGGGGACTGTGACGCCAGCCCCGTCCCCAGGGGGTGGGTAACTAGGAGCTTCAGGGCATCAGCAGCTGCCTCCTCTCCCCCTGGGGCTCCAGCCTGGGATTTTTTATCTTTTCTTTCTTTTCCTGGTGTTCTCCAGGTGACCAAGGAAATAGAGGTCCCTGGCGCTCTGTGCGGGAGTTAGGAGGTGCCCATTGGTGTTACCAAGTCTGATGGAGGGCCAGCTTTTGTTACAGGGAGAACAGGTGTCTCCTAGTCATGAGGACCTCGTATCGGAAAACACACGTGCACACATTCCCCACCCCCACACACCTCACCTTATTCAAATTATTGACGGGGTGCTTCTATCATTTAAAAGCGTTCATCTTCCCACTTCAGACCTCAGACCCCCTCAGAATAAGGGGATATTAATGTCCATACAGAAGACACTTGGACCAGAAATAAGGAGGTTTGGCTCCTGGGCCCCAGCTTTGTCATCAGCAGCATTTTTCGTCTGTGAGCCTCTGGTCCCGGCCTAGAAAACAAGAGGAGAGGGAGCGGGGGTGGACAGGGAGTGTACAGGCTGTCTTCTAGTCCTGAAACCCCAGGAACCCTGTGAGTTGGTCAGGTAGTAGTGGGCTCAAGGATACAAGGAGGGAGGGAGGGAGGGATGGGACGGGGAGTGGGGATTTTATTCAGAACCAGGGCAGGGCGCTCTGGAGAGGTGGTAGGCCCAAGTCGACTGTGTGGGTCTCTATGGCGCCACCTGCTGGAGCAGATCGGAGAGCTGAAGACCGGTTGCAGGGCGGGGGTCAGTTCTCTTGTCATGATGGCGGAGCTGGGACCTGGGAGCTCAAAGGCTGCACACAGTGGGGGCAGCTGGTACGTTGTGAGCTGACAAGTCAGAGCTCTTCGGGAAGCACAGGGTGGGCCTGAAGGCCTCGCTCTGCATTTCCTGTCTGGAAATGTTTCTCAGCATTTTCCTGAGCATGCAGTTTTTCCCCATGTGTATGTCAGTATTAAGGAAATAGAGGGCAGATGACTTTCTTTTCATGGATTTCATGTTCTAGTGGAAGAGAGTGTCCACATCCATTGAACATGTACTGGACCTTTAGTTCTTGCTGCGTCCAGTATTTATTGAGTGCCTGCTCTGTGTCAGGTGCTGCAGATAAAGCATTAAGGAAAGCGTAGCCCTCTACCCCCACCCCCGTTCTGCAGGGGGATTGACAGGTGAAGGCTATGGCTGAGTAGACATGACCCAGCAACTTGAGGGTGGGAGTCGGGGTTTTGAAGGTGGCAGAAGGCTTCCAGAAGAGTTGATGCCTACATGGAGATTTAAGGATAAGTAGAAGTTAGTCACGCCAAGAGGCAAGGGCCAGTGCTCCAGGAGAGGACAGAATATTTCCATGTGGCTGTGGGATTTTACCCAGATTAAGACGTAGCCTTCACAGCCAGAGTTCACAGTCTAGTGGAAGAGAGTAGCCCTAACACAGGACAGACCTTGGGTGAATCCCATGGGAGAAGGACACACAGAGCTCTGGGAGTGTAGAGGATGGAGGGTTGGGAGAGATCTGGCTTGAGGAGTCGCAGCTTTGGGCTGAGCCTTGCAGGATAGGTAGACAGGAACAGAAAATGTGGAGGGATGGGGTTGGGCCTGTCTTCAGGGGTCAAGGCAGGTAAATCTAGGCATTGCACCACTTGTGTGGAGGGGTAAAGACAGAAAGTCAAGGTAAAGCCAGATCTGTGGTAGCACTAGGTTTAGAAATTTGGCCTTGATCTTGTAAAGAGGTGGGGTGTGGTAAATACTTCTAAACAGAGGAGCAAATGCTTAGGATTGAAGTGTGTGGCCTGAAGCTTGGGAAGTAGGGGATTCATGTTGGAGGTATGCTCGTCATGGGATTTACTTGACAATAAATCATAGTTCAGGGGAAAGAAAATGTCCTTTCTACAATTTCCTGATTCCCCAAGGTAAAAAAAAAAAAAAAAAAAAAAGTTTATCAGTAACAAATCTAGCATGTTCCGTTTGTTGACAGCCATCTCCCTGTTCCTAGAACAATGTATGGTACCTAGTAGAATACGACAAATAATGATTTTGTGGGGAATTATGAGTCACTTTGAGTTATGAACCAACTGTCCTTTACACTCTCTTAGAATGACACTGTACTGTATTTAGAAAATTATTTTTCATGATCCTTCCTAAAGCTGATACGATCTTAACTGAAAATGAAGCCTTTTTAAGCTGTTTATGTTCAAGTTTTTTTTATGCTTATTTTTGTTGAAGTTGTTTTGGAAAAGCTAAAAATATTTTATATCAACATTATGTCAACATTAACTCAACTGAGTTCCCAGCATTGATTAGGAACACTTTATATGCTTCTGCCACACCTGATCCCTCCAAGTGGTTTGTCCCTTTGGGTAGTTAGAACAAATGTAAATAGAGTCAGTTTTGTATCTCGTCACCTCAGGTTTTCTTCTGGGTGGACGGCATCCACAATTTACGGGTCCAGTCAGTAAACCACTAGTTAGTAGATTATTTTCTTCCCTGAATGTCTTAACTCATACTATACTGTAAAATATATCAAAATCACATTGCCTGCCAAGCACTAGCCATGGTAATTCCAGACGAGGTCAGTCTGACATAAGGAGAACATTTCTGCCAAATCTCCCACCGGTCGGCCTGAAATGCCGCTGATGCTAGGCGGAGGTGAAATCCCACAATGAATTTGCAGTATTGCTGTTTGCTTTCAGGCATCTAGAGTGGCTTCCTTTTTCCATTGTGTTGAGGGAAAATAGCAAATTACAGATGTCTCTTTTTGCAGGAAATGTAAAAGCACAGTTATTCTGATAATTTCTTAATGCAGTGAACTTTAAAGAACTTCCTCTTCTCATTGTCTTCTTAAAAAGGGGAAACGTTCTCATGATAAATGAACACAAAAAGGGGGATGGATTTTTTTCCAGTAAACAGGGCTACGGTAACGTCCCACAATAGAACTGTGTTGTTGCTGTACATAGATGTTTTTCTAAAACACTGGCTTTTATTTCCAATATATATTTAAGGCTAATCGCTTCTTTGTTGGTGAAAGCTTTAATTCCATGAGGAATGAAGACAGGATAAATATCAGTTAGAGCAACATAAATGCTGTTCTGAGCTGACCTCAAAACACATTTTGAGTTTTGTGCTCGGGCTGTGGCCTGACACATATATTGAATTCTTGGCTCAGGCCACCTAGTTTATTTACATATTTTAGATCTTTCAGTTTAAAGAAAAATATATTTATGTATTTTTTTCACATCATTAGTAATTACTCTTTTTTTTTTAAGATTTTATTTTATTTATTTGACAGACAAAGATCACAAGTAGGCAGAGAGAGAAGAGGAAACAGGCTCCCTGCTGAGCAGAGAGCCCTAAGTGGTGGGGCTCTCGATCCCAGGACCCTGAGATCATGACCGGAGCCGAAGGCAGAGGCTTAACCCACTAAGCCACTCAGGCACCCCAGTAATTACTCTTCTTAATAAACCTTTTACTTTGGAATTATTTTAGACTTACAGAAAAACAGCAGTGATAGTACAAATAGGTTCCCTATACCATCACTTACCAAATTTCCCCTCATGTTTACATTGTACGTAACCATGGCATATTTATCAAAACTAAGAAGTCAACTTTGGTGCGTTACTATTAACTACAGATTTTATTCAAATTTCACTTGTTTTTCCACTACTGCCCTTTTTCTGTTCCAGGATCCAATCTAGAATCCTACATTCTCTGGCTTCTTTTGTTTATTTTCTTCCTGTAATTAAGATTTCTAAGAAGGTCCTAGACTTACCAAGATTTCATTTGCAAGAATAACATCTTAAGCATGTGGTACTTTGCCGATAGGTTGGACTGATGAGTTTCTAAAATGTCTTTGCAGAGATTGCCTTACAGCAAGTTTCCATGTTCTTCCGATCAGAACCAAAGTGGGAGGTGGTAGAACCGTTGAAAGACATAGGTGAGAAACTGGCACGTGCCTGGTCTGTTCAAACAGATCACAGAACTGGACTCTTTGTCACGCTTTCCTATCTGTAGCCCGAGAAAGCTCTTCCACGCAGGTGATTTCTTTTTCTTTTTGCCTTCCTACTGCTTGAAGACGCAGTCCGTAACTTGTATACTTAATGAATCTTGGGTAATGTGCCACCTGGAGACTTGGGGGGTAGTAATGTGTATTTTCAGAGCCGTCCGTCATTCTTCATCTCTTTCTCACTACACCTTAAGTGAAGTGCCCATTTTCCTGTGCCCATGAATAGTTTCTTCGTTTGTAGTTGTTTTGGTGTTTTCTGTGGGTTTTTTTTGCTTTGGGGTTTTGTTTTGTTTTTCTTAAATACCATCTTTCCCATGTCAACATTACCAAGTGGTGGTTTTACTGGTGCCAGTATTGTAGCGGGTAAGATTGCCAACCTGGATTTTTAAAATTACTTGGTGAAACTTTTCTCTGTTGGTGTAAATATTATTTGCTATGACTGCATCTCTGCTTTTATGCAGGTTGGAGGATAAGGAAGAAATATTTCTTGATGAAGATTAAAAATCAGCCAAAGGAGCGGCTAGTGTTAAGCTGGGTGAGCTGATTTTTTGCTTTGGTCTCCTTTCATGTACTTGAGATGGGTTTATAAAAGCAGATACTGAAAAAGGATAATTAAGAAATTGCACTGTTCTTCTGAGTGATGTTGTAAAGGCCTCTTCAGTCCTACATCAAAGGAGAGTAATTTTGAGTCACTTTGCTTATTCACTTGGTTATATCCATGTGATTGTATTTGATTAATTAGTAAATATCTGGAAAGAAACAGAACAGCTTAAAATAGTTCTGGAACCTCTTTAGGATTGGGAATTTTGCAGTTTGTTTTAAAGAAAAAATACACATTGCTTTATGTTCTCTCTTGCTTCAGGAGTTCTAGTGGTTTGGCTAATGGAATTTGATAAAAGCATAGTTTTTTGGTTTTTTTAAAAAATCTTTTTGCTTTTGTTTTTGTTCTTTTAATTTTAGGCAGTTAACATACGGTGCAATATTGGCATTCAGTGATAAATCACTTACACATAACACCCAGTGCTCATGATAACAAATACGCTCCTCAATACCCATCACCCGACTTTGTGTGGCTTGCACCTTTGGTTTACAGTCATATTTGGACAAATGAAATAAAGGGAAAGGTTTACAAGGAATTTTTCTTTTGGTAACTTAAGGCAACACCCTGATATTTTCCCCCATGTTTCCAGGCTGACCTTGGTCCCGACAAGTTTCTGTCAGATAAAGATTTTCAGTGTCTAATCAAACTTCTGCCTTCCTGTTCGGTGAGTACAAGCCCTTCTATTCTTTCTCTTTTTTTTAGTCTTTTATTTTTAAATAATCTCTACAGCCAACATAAGGCCCAAATGCACAACCCCGACGTCAAGAGTCACATGCTCTACTGACTCAGCCAGCCAGGCACCCCAAGCCCTTCTGTTTTTCTAGGTGGCTGACAGATTCAGAGTGTTTTCTTGTAGGTGACCATGGACAGAAGAGCTGGAAATGCTCTGTAGGCTCAACAGTGTGGAGAGGTATAGTGGATTTCAGTTCACGCTAAAATTGCTCAGGGCTGCTCCTATAGCTCAGAGACCAATTTTTTTTTTTTAAGATTTTATTTATTTATTTGATTGAGAGAGAGAGCACAAATAGGGGGAGTGGCAGCCAGAAGGTGAGGGAGCAGCAGCCTCCCCACTAAGCAGGGAGCCCCATGTGGGGCTCGATCCCAGGACCTGGGATCAACACCTGAGCCAAAGGCAGACACCTCACTGACTGAGCCACCCAGGCACCCCCAGAGGCCATTTAAATGGCATTCATGACATCGGCACAACCCATGAAACTTGACAATTGTTTTAAGCAAATATCCGAGTAAGAAAGTACCCACTTTGTTCTCAGTAAGGATGTTTGTATCAGTGGAATTGAAAGATCTGTTTCTAGGGGCGCCTGGGTGGCTCAGTGGGTTAAGCGTCTGCCTTTGGCTCAGGTCATGATCTCAGGGTCCTGGGATCGAGCCCCGCATTGGGCTCTCTGCTCAGTAGGGAGCCTGCTTCCTCTTTTCTCTCTGCCTGCCTCTCTGCCTACTTGTGATCTGTCAAATAAATAATAAATCTTTAAAAAAAAAAAAAAAAAGAAAGATCTGTTTCTAGTCTGAGAAAACAGAACTAGTTTGGATTTAGATAAGCTGGGTGAGGGAAGGCACAAAGAGCCCTTTTGCTGTCTGAATCACTATTCTCACAGGCCAGCTAGTTGGCCTTTAGGAGTGCCTGGCATTATTTATGCTAATGTACAGTTCTGATCCAAGGCCATTAGTGGAAAGAAAATACATCACTGTATTTCAGAATATATGCAGAATGTCTTCAGGAAAAGACTAATCTGGCCAGAAAAGCGAGTTAATATTGATGTTCTTTATCTGTGGTCTGCATGAGGATGTAGGACCCTAGAATGAGTCATTCATGAGCACAATTATGCTGACCTATCCAGTTGGGTGGGCAGGTTCATTTTTGAAGATAGAGTGTCTTGTCAAGCTAGCAAAACCAAGCTTCTAATGAGGTGTGCAGTGTAGCCAAGAAAAATGCCGTGGTCTTTGTGCGTGATTAGTTGTGTGCCACAGGCTCTCAGCATTCAATTCCAAATTTCCTTTAAAGGTTGTGCTTTTAAAAAAAGAAGGTGGTACAGATAAGTGGTGTGTATTAATTGTAGAAAAGTTAGAAAATATGGATAAGCAAAAATAAGAAAAGAAAACTCACCTACAGTCCCAAGCAAACCAAAATGTCTAGAACTTTATATGGTTATTTTTTTGAAAAATTACACATATACTGTTTTAAAACCTGATTTTTTGGTTAATGATATATCATGCACATCTTTTATGGAATAAATATGGTATAACATCATTATTACTGGTTGCATAGACTATAGTTGGCCTTACCTCCGTTTATTCAACTAATCTTCTGCGAGACATTTGGACCACTTCCAGTTTTTTCTTCTTATTTAAAAAGGAAAAAAGCCACAGTGAACAATTCAGGCTAAATATTTGTACCCATCCTTAATTATCTTCATCAAATAAATAACAAGAATTAATAAGGGAGATATTTTGAGACTGTATAAATATCCTGTTCTCACCAAAGCCCTACTAGCTTTAGCTTCATTGAGATTTTCCAACACCATCATTCTTCTTAGATTTATCAGTTGGCATACTGTAAGGGAAGAGCTTCTTATTCGCTCCTCTTGGTCTGTTTATATCAGTATGGACTCAACGATTTTTATTTTATTCATTGGGTTCCTTTTTGGGGTGATGAGGGTGTTCTAAAGTTAGATTGTGTGGTAGTTTATACAGCTCGGAATATACTGAAAACCATTGAATTGTATACTATAAATAGGTGAATTATAATGGCATATGAATTATATAGATATAAATATATATGTTAATATCATATATATGTTAATATCATATATATTCATATATATAAGAATTATATTTTAATACAGCTGTTACAGGATCAGTAATAATCATTTTGATGTGATGGTCAGAAGAAACTTCATGATCAAGGACTATATTTTTCTGGGGATACCCTTCCATCCCCCAGCCCACTCAGTCCGAACCCTCCCAAACCTTTGCACAGCTCAGCTCCTATGGGTTTAAATTATAATGGTGCTCGTTTGAGCAAATGGACATGTAACACCTATTTGAAGCCAGTTGATTCATGCAACCAAAATTCCAGGTCATATGAGGACTTTCAGTCATTAAATAATTAGTTTTACTCTCCACCCCACTTGGTTGACGTCAGTGGCCCCTTCTCAGGAAGACAACCGTGAGTCATCACACTGCACCCTGCAGAAAATGGATGGGAAGATTCATGCTAGCTGCTTTGGATAAGGGCCACGATTCCAAAAGATGTGGCTTTTTTGCTTGTTTTCTGGCTTTTACGCTCCCTGGCTTGGCCCCAAACAGCAGTGTGAAATGTTACGCAGCGCTATAAATGAAGACACGTTTGTCCTGGTCCTCACTTGGCTATGCTAGGGTTTGGCTGTATTCTCTACCAACGTACAGAGGCAGAATATTAAAACCATTATCCCCCAGACCTCTGCCTGAGCTCCAAGCATGTGTATCCCCAGGCATATACCTTCACGTGGTGAGCTCGCCGTGCCAGCTGTCCATGTCCCTTTGTCTGTATAGTTTAGGTTCCTTCTCTCATTTTAAGAACGATGTGCTTGTTGATCATCTGATAAGAAAATGCCACATATTCAGGGAACATCCGCACGTTTATGTGAGACTAAAGTGCTGTGAGGGTACTTAAGTCTACGTAACCAGATTCTTGATCTCAAAGGACCCAGATGCTGATGCAAATAAATGTGAATTTTTTTTTTTGTTTTGACAGCACCCTTATATCTATCGGGTCACCTTTGCCACAGCTAACGAATCCTCTGCATTGCTTATTAGGATGTTTAATGAAAAAGGAACTTTGAAGGACCTGATCTACAAGGTACTTGTGGTGCAAGTTCATGGTCATAAAGAAGTTCTCAAGTCCCTTCAGAACCTATCATAGATTCTTGATCCCTCAGGTTCCGGAAGTTAGGCCCTAAGAAACCCTTAGGGTTTATTTTAATTTTGATTTGATTTGGAATTTATTTTGATTTTATCAGTAAAACTACCCCATCTGGTTAAAGAGCATTCCTTTCCCCAAATGAAAGAAGGTTGAATAGGTAATGGTTATGTACATGACATCGTAAGCTGCTCTCTCAGGTCAGTTTTAAAGTTTGTGTCTTTCACTTAACGAGCAATACTGAACTATCTCAGTAAAGTTGGAAAATAAGACTCTGGGGTCTGCTAAGGCCAAGACCAGGCCCATCTTCACTGGACCAGAGAAGGGATGCAACTCAGGTCAGCCTCTTTCTATCAACTGCACAGACTCTTGTACTTTAAAAACCCACATTCTGTGAGCTGACCTCATCTGGCACCCCCAGCTGCTTAGAGCCCTGCCTGTTCCAGGCTACGTGTGGTAGTCAGACCCGCTGCTGTTCTCTTATATGCTCTTTGTGCTTTTCCAAAGGCAAAACCAAAAGACCCATTCCTAAAGAAGTACTGCAACCCTAAGAAGATTCAGGGCCTTGAACTCCAGCAAATAAAAACATACGGACGGCAAATATTAGAGGTAAGAGGTATTTAATATTTGCTTAGGTTGCATTGGGATTTCACTCAGATTACTGTATTCCTTTGGGAAAGTTCTTGGGATTGCTTATAAATAGATGGCATTGTCCTATTTTATCCCGAAAAGCAAGTATTTGAGACTAAGGCAGCCAATTCAGATCCACAAAAATTCCAAAAGCTTAGCTATTAGAATTTAGTGTCTGATTTTTAAGAACTTCACTGTGCAGATACCAACTTTTGTGTTACGTTTGGTTGATCTTTATCTTTGTGCCAGGATTATTGATTTTGTTATATCAATACATAACCATCTGGCTCCCTTGCAAAAGTGAAACGCATGAAAAGCCTTTCCCATATCACTCTCTAGAGCCTTGTTCTCCAGGCTTCTTGGATTGTCCGACCTTATCAGTGAAAACAGTTTAAGCATAACCCCCCCCCATAATAACTTATATGCATGCACTACTACTAATATATGTTGTGTATTATAAGTTAAGTTAGGAAAGAAGGAGGTTTTTTTGTTTTTGTTTTTGTTTTTTAAGTAGGCTCCATGCCCAGTGCGGAGCCCGACACAGGCTCTCATGACCCTGAGATCAAGACCCAAGTTGAAATCAAGAGCGGACACTTAAGCAACTGAGCCACCCAGGAGCCCCAGAAAGAAGGAGATTAAAAACAAGCAAATAGAAAGAGAAGTTGTCATATTTTCTTCCAGTCCTCAGTAGATTGTCCTGGGTACCCCCTTTGGCTAGCACTGCTCTAGTTCATGCGGTTGTTATGGGTGTATCTCCAGGCATCTCCCTTTGTAGGTGAGCCTCTGTTTAATAAATGGCAGTGGAAAGGTTTGCTTCTTTCTGTGGGAGCCTGTCATGTGTTCCTGTTAATAAACAGCCTAATATATATATTTTTTTAAGATTTTATTTATTTTTTTGACAGAGAGACACAGCAAGAGAGGGAATATAAGCAGGGGGAGTGGGAGAGGGAAAAGCAAACTCCCTGCTGAGCAGGGAGCCTGATATGGGGCTTGATCCCAGGACCCTGAGGTCATGACCTGAGCCAAAGGCAGATGCCTAACAACTGAGCCACTCAAGCACCCCAGCACAATATACTCTGAGAAGAGATTGGACTAGGGATATTTTTCGCCCAACCCCTTTTCCTGAACAACTAACTGGCTGATGCCCTGCCATGTTAGCCTTACTCATCTGTGTGGGAGGATCAAGACTTTGGCCTGCAAGGAGCTGGCCTGTTGAGATCAGAAAGTGCTGGAAGTCGAACATTAAAGTTGTTAACCCCAAGCTTTGGGTTAACAGAAGCTGCATCTCTGTTCTTTGGAAATGAGGGAGCTTGGAGTTGGGTCTCATAACTGGAAAGCATTCAGCATCACCCCTTTTTCCAAAGAATGGATGGAGAGGGCATTTTTCTTTAGGAATCTCCTCAGTAACCAGTTTTGTTTCAAACTATAGTGACTTAAAAAACAAAGTTTAACCTGTCTCATAACTGAATGAGTTGGGGGTGGGGGAATGTAACCTCTACATATTTTTTAAATAGGTACTGAAGTTTCTACATGACAAGGGATTCCCTTATGGGCATCTTCACGCCTCCAATGTGATGCTCGATGGTGACACTTGCCGGCTGCTAGACCTTGAGAATTCCTTATTAGGCCTTCCTTCCTTCTACCGATCCTATTTCTCACAATTCAGGAAAATCAACGTAAGTTGCTAGAAGTAACGAAAACAGGAAATTAATTTTTAGGTATAAATGATCCCCCTGGCAGGACCCATGATCTGCCCATGTAAGAAATATGCAGGGTAGGCCATGCCTGTTGGCTCTTTTCTCTCACAGAGTACTGCTCTATCTTTAAGTGCCTCGTTGAAATGGTAGATGAGATAAGGAGGGACATAGAATCATGGACTGGAAAAGAATGGGGAGTAGGACCAGGACCTTGGGTCAGAGCAGTGCCCTGTGAGCTTTTGCAAAAGGCCTTGGAGTTGTGTTTTCACTACCAGTAATGAGCGGGGTTGCCCCTGGGCCATGTTTTTCTTGGTGAAAGCCTAGGGAAGGAACCCTGGGATTCACAAAGCCAAGCTGAAAGATAACCACCCTGCTCTCTTGTCTTCCACAGACATTGGAAAGCGTGGACGTCCACTGCTTTGGCCACTTACTGTATGAAATGACTTATGGAAGACCGCCAGACTCAGTGCCTGTAGATTGCTTCCCTCCTGCACCGTCTATGGCTGTGGGTCAGTATGGGCTTTGAAGGAGTCTAATGGGCCCCGGTAGTCCACAGAGCTACTCACCCTCTTTCCAAAGTCCAGGAAGGACCCAGAGGAGGTTGCCATGTTCCATAGCCAGCCAAATCCAGTTTATAAAAGTAAACCAGGTCTGAGTGATTTATTTAAATTCACCTCACTAAAAATTCAGATGGTTTGTCCATTTGTCTGGCTATCTAAAACCTCAGGAAACATACTGTAACTGCATTCAAATTTTGGAACCGGGAGGTTGTAAAGATAAATCTGTCCAGACTGAGTCTGATATAGAAGCAGAAGCTAGGAACAGGCAAATTGAAGCCAGCCTTTCAACTGGGACAGGTGTCAAGGGCCAGACCGAGACTGGAGTGGGACCTGCAAGGGACAAGAGAGCCATGGGCTGGACATCTGGTAGATAAAAGGCTGGCAGGTCGAGAGCAGGGAAAGGGAGGCAGGAATATAAACACCTGGCAGATTGGATCCCGGCGTTCTTCCAGCCTTACTTAGGGGACTGAGGAGGGCCAGAGGACAGGTGGGAGACACTTTTGGGGGCGGAACATGGGGACTGATGCAGACTTATCCAGGGACCCTTTCATCCCATCCATAGCCCGCCCAGAACTCACTGTTAGAGCAACACCAAGAGGGGAGGGCAGGGTAGCTCTCGGACCACTGAGCCTATGAGATGTGCAAGTTAACCCCCCACCAAGTGCTAGTTTTGTGTCAAAGTAGTGGTTCAAGAGTACAGGCCCCAAGACTACTGGGCCTGTGTTGAATGCAAACAGCTGAAACTGAACAGTGACCTGTGAGTAGAAAAATCTGGCTGCTTTTGTTTATATCATCCAAGGTGTTGGATGATGAGACGTCAACAATTGGCATTTTGTGTGCCAGTTTTGATTAAAAAGAAAGCAAGCAGCAAAATGTTTTCCAAGTTCAGAATTTTCTGTGTAGTGTTTACTTTTCTTTTAAGAGAGCAAACACTTCTATGAATGATATCTGGAATCCTTCCTCCAATTATCTTTGAAATATATTTAGCTTTCTATCAGCATGTGGTGTCTGAACCATTTATTTTGAGCCATCGGTAACATGGTGTTGCCAACATTCCCCTCCCCCATGTATGCCATCTGTCTGTGCGTGAAGAGTTTTGACACCGTCCTGATCAGCCTGCAGACAGTTGTTGCAAAGTGGTGTCAAACTTTTCATCACCAAGCAGATTTGCCAGCATGTTCTGTGGAACTAAAATGTGTATCTGTTCATTTCAAGTGGCCGTGTTGGAGTCCACGCTGTCTTGTGAAGCCTGTAAAAATGGCATGCCTGCCGTCTCCCGGCTCTTACAGATGCCGTAAGTCAATCACACGCCTTGTTTGTCACCTTCCTAACTGTGTAGAACGCTGGACCACGAAGCCAGGGGCCTGGCACCATAGTAGACTCAGGTGTGGTCCTTGTGGAGTTGAAGTGACATGCTTGTTGTCAGTCACTTGCAGCATGATATCATGAGCTGTCCGCTGCCGTGGTCTGATCGCTGTCCCTTGATGTCCGCATCTTCACGTGTGTCTCTCCCTGTCGATGTTAGCGTCATATGTGTGTACATGTGCCCCCACCCACCCACCCCCACTTAGAACATTCTGACCGACAGCCTGCTGGAGCACTGTCCTTCAAGGCCCTGTTCCGCGCACCAGCTGGCCCTCAGCTGTGGCTGGTTGTGCCCTCTAGGAGGAGGTCAGCGGGTTTCTGGCCCACCCTACGCACCTTTGTTCCTCTGCTCCCTGGGTAACATGGGTTACACATCTGACTTGTACCAGGCATTGTGTTAGGGGCTTGGAGCGCAGAAGACGTTCTCCCTTAGACTAGGTTATGACTAGTTCATCAGGACCATTGAAATAGTGCTGCAGGGCCTTGCCTGTAGCTGTGCTTTCTGTCCCTTCTTGGAGAGCGCAGCAGCATGGCTGAGAAGGGTGTGTCTGAGGTTAGACAGAGCTGGGGTTGCACCCAGCCTCCCCACTTCTGGGTGGGGAGGGTGACCTGGGGCAGCTTTCCTGTGTCTGGAAGCTGAGGCTCCCCGTCTGGGAAATAGGACTGGTAGTGGGCCCCACCGGAGAGGATCGTTGGGAGGAGTGAATGAGGCGATTCCTGGTGTAGCGCTTCGCGAGTGTTAGTCATGATGACTATTGATTCAGCGTCTATTTTGCGAGTGGCACATATCCACGGCACACCCAGTGCGTCGTCTGTGCCAGCTTGCCACATAGCAGATGTTCTCAAGAAACAGTGGTGCGGGGAAGCAGGGCAGGGCTTAGCTTGAATGCATAAGGCCAGAGCTCAGAGGAGCTCCATGCCTTCAGAGAGTGTGGGAGCTGCCCCAACCCCTGACACTGCCCCCGCCCCGCCCCTGCCCATGGATATGACCTTTTAAAGTTCAGCTGACACTGGTGTGTCCCTCTCCCAAGCAGCCACCTTTAATAACAGTGTGAATATGGAAGAATAGACCCAATTAGGGAAATGAAACAATTTTTGCACAAACTCATTTTAAAAGAAAATGCCTTTGGGGCGCCTGGGTGGCTCAGTGTGTTAAAGCCTCTGCCTTCGGCTTGTCATGATCCCAGGGTCCTGGAATCCAGCCTTGCATCGGGCTCTCCGCTCAGTAGGGAACCTGCTTCTGCCTCTCTCTCTGCTTCCCTCTCTGCCTACTTGTGATCTCTGTCTGTCAAATAAATAAATAAAATCTTTAAAAAATAATAAAAAATAAAGAAAATGCCTTTGTAGTTGGGGAACAACCTGGATTCGTGCTGATGTACTTGGGTTTGTGTTTGTAGCCCCCATGGTCCAGACCTCTTCCATTCTCCTCCCAGCCATCCAAGTCTAAAGGGAAGCCACATTGTTTTTTCCTCACTGAGGTCTTTCTACCCTGCGGCCTTGAGTCTTGAGAAGAATACTTGAAGAGGCGTGAACTCTGTTCAGTTAAAATGTGTTTTCTGGAAGTAAATGGGCCTGTGCCCTTGATGGGGAGAGTTCTGTCTCTACTGCCAGAGCCGCCCAGGGAGCACTGTGGGGAAAAGTTAGCTGTATCATTTCTACTTGTGAAGTATTTCCTGTTTTTTAAAAAGGGGATTCCTCAAGGCAAGGCTCCTACATAGCCATGGGGGCACTGCCCAAGCAGCCATGTAAATTCCCCAAACTGTCTTAGCCGAAGTAGCTCAGAATTCCTCATGCTGTTGTTTCTAGTCACATAATTTTGGAAGAGAGAATTGATATACTCTAAAAGCTGCCTTTTTAAAAAAAGATTTTATTTATTTGTTTTGTTTATTTATTTGACAGAGAGAGGGAACACAAGCAGGGGGAATGGGAGAGGGAGAAGCAGGCTTCTCGCTGAGCAGAGAGCTTGATGTGGGGCTTGATCGTAGGACCCTGGGATCATGATCTGAGCTGAAGGCAGACGCTTAACAACTGAGCCACCCAGAGCCCCCTGGTTTGTTGTTGTTGTTCTTATTGTTTTAAGATTTTATTTATTTATTTGACAGAGAGAGAGATCACAAGTGGCAGAGAGGGAGAGGGAAGCAGGCTTCCTGCTGAGCAGAGAGCCTGATACAGGGCTTGATCCCAGGACCTTGAGATCATGACCTGAGCTGAAGGCAGAGGCTTTAACCCACTGAGCCACCCAGGCACCCCAGTTTTTTTTTTTTTTAAGAGAATTTAAGAAATACCTCTTAGAAGAAAATTATTTTCTTGTTAGATTCCAATCAGAACAGTGTCTTTCTACTTAACAATTTTATTTTACTGAGCTCTAGAATAATTTTTTTAAGATTTATTTATTTAAGGGAGAGAGAGCGCGAGAGCAGGGGGAGGGGCAGAGGGCAAGGGAGACAGAGAGAGAGAGCATCTTAAGCAGACTCCACGCTGAGCATGGAGCCCAGTATAGGGCTTAATCTCACGACCCGGAGATCATGACCTGAGCTGAAACCAAGAGTCGGACACTTAACTGATTGTGCCCCCCACAGAATAAATTTTATCCTTTTCTAGGGTTTAATTAAAAAGGGGGAAAATCAGTTATTCTGTTTAGAAATATCTACTGCATAAATTATTTACAATATAATAAATATAAATATAATAATATAATAAAATAATAATTTGCAAAACTAATTTTTAAAAGTGTTTATTACTTTATTCTATGGCATAAGAGGTCCGTTGCCCTGCCACGTGGGGAAATAGTCTTCAGTACAGGGCTGACCCAGTCTCTCCTTGGTAGCACCTCTGATACTGGGGGGCAGTGAGGAGGTGCTGAGCTTTTTCTGTGGTCACATTGGGTGCCCTGTAAACTTTGAGTGTGTCGATCAGCATGAAATGGTGGACTGGGCCAGGGCTGGGGGACGTGGGAACCTCATGGCCTAAAGATGTCTCATTCTGTTTTGATCCTGTTCTGAGAGGACATCTGGCTTAAGAAAGATTTTGTTTGTTTCTTTTCTTAACAGATTATTCAGTGATGTTTTACTAACCACTTCTGAAAAGCCACAGTTTAAGGTAAAGCAAATCATACCATTTTTTTTTTTTTTTGGTTTGTGACATATATAAGTTGATGTTGAAACTTAGTGCTTTTAAAAAAATTATTGAAGTAGAATTGACATGCCACATTATGTTAGTCTCAGATGTCCAACAACATAATGACTTGATATTCGTGTACATTATGAAGTCATCTCCACAGTAAGTCTAGTTAACATCTGTCACTATATATAGTTAAAATTCTTTTCTTCTTGTGGTGAGAATTTTTACGATTTACTTTCTTAAAAAAAAAAAGATTTACTTTCTTAGCAACTTTAAAGTATACAATATAGTATCTTAATAATAGTTACCACGCTAAGTATACAATATAGTATCTTAATAATAGTCACCATGCTGTACATTATGTCCCTATGACTTAACTTATTTTGGGACTGGAAGTTTGTACCTTTTGCCCCCTCCACCTGTTTCATCTGCCCCATCCTCCCGACCTGGCAACCACCATTCTGTTCTCTGTGAACAGTGTGTTCTCTATGAGTTCAGGTTTGGTTTTGTTTTTAGAGACCACATATAAATGAGATCATATGGTATTCGTCTTTCTCTCTCTAACTTATTTCACTTAGCATAATGCCCCCAAGCTCCATTCATGTTGTTGCAAATGGAAGGATTTCCTTTTTTTTTTTAAAAGATTTTATTTATTTATTTGAGAGAGAGTGCAAGCGAGCAGGAGCGGGGGAGAGGCAGAAGGAGAGGGAGAAGCAGTCTGCACACTGAGCAGGGAGCCCGATGTGGGACTCGATCCCAGGACCCTGGGACCAAGACCCGAGCAGAAGGCAGCTGCTTAACCGACTGAGCCACCCAGGCATCCCGGGATTTCCTTTTTTATGGCCAAGTAATATTCCATTGTATATACCCACATTTTCTTAATCCATTCATCCACTGATGACACTTAGACAACCATTGTTTCCATGTTGTGGTATAAATAATGATGCAGTGAACATGGAAGTGTATATCTTTTTTTTTTTAAAGATTTTATTTATTTGACAGACAGAGATCACAGTAGGCAGAGAAGCAGGCAGAGAGAGGAGGAAGCAGGCTCCCTGCTGAGCAGAGAGCCCGGTGCGGGGCTCGATCCCAGGACCCTGGGACCATGACCTGAGCTGAAGGCAGAGGCTTTAACCCACTGAGCTACCCAGGCGCCCCAGTGCATATCTTTTTGATTCAGTGTTTTCATATCCTTCAGATAAATAGCCAGAAGTGGAATTGCTGGATCATTTGGTAGTTCTATTTTTAATTTTTTGAGGAGCCTTCATACGATTTTCCCAATTTACATCTCCACCTTTAGTATAAAGGTTTCTTTTTTCTCCACATCCTCTCCAGCAGTTATCTTGTCTTTGTGATACTAGCCGTTGCAACAGATGTTAGGTGATACCTCCTGTGGTTTTGATTTGCATTTCCGTGATTAGTGATGTTGAGCACCTTCTCATTAGACGTTGGCCATCTGTGTGTCAAGTTAGTGCTTTTTTTAATCAAACAAGAGAAGGTACAATATTTTTTTTAATTGACATACAGGTAACATGCAATATTCTCTTAGTTTGTGTACATCAAAGTGACTTGATATTTTTTATATATTATGAAATGATCCCAACAATAAGTCTAATTACCATCTATCACCACACAAAGTCATTAAAATATCGACTATATCCTCTATGTTGTAATGAATTTGGCTTATTAATTTTATAACTGGAAGTTTAGGTACAGAGTTTATAATAGTGAAAATTTGAAGACATTCTAGTATCTGTGCTGCCAAAGCGAGCACTTGAAAACAATCTAAATACTGTATAATGAGGGACTAATTTAAGAATTTATGGTGTATCTGTTTGACAAAATGTTTTTTATCTAATGAAAGTAAAATTTATAAAGACATTGTAGTAGCATGGAAAACGACTATTTGGGCTAAGGTGGAAAGACAAGCAAGATAAAAATATAATGTGTAAAAAGAATAACTTGTCCAGCAGAAAGTCAGCAAGGAAAATCCTGGGAAGTAGCAGCATCGTGTGGTATCATGGGACGAGTAGGGGCTTTAGAACCCGAAAAAACTCAGGATGATGCCTTACTTTGCTTTTTTTATACTAGCCATTTATCTATGGCTGCTTTTCTCAGACATGACATTTTTTTAAAGATTTTATTTATTTGTCAGAGAGAAAGCACAAGCAGGGAGAACAGCAGGGAGAGGGAAAAGCAGGCTCCCCACTAAGCAGGAAGCCCCATGGGGAGCTCGATCCCAGAACTCTGGGATCGTGATGTGAGCCAGGGGCAGATGCTTAACCGACTAAGCCACCCAGGTGTCCCATCATACACAACATTTGACATTTTGGATCAGATAGTTTGTTGTGGTGGTCTTGTGCATTGTTGGACATGAAGCAACTTCCCTGGCCTGTACCCACTAGATGCAAACAGCACTTCCCTTCCACCCCAGACATTGTGATGATAAAAAATGTCTCCAAAAATCAGCAAATGTCCCCTAGAGAGGGAAGGGAGCAAAACAACCCCTATTTGAGATCTCTCATCTATGGGCCTAGTCTTTGAGTTGATGTTTACTCAGTGTGTACAACTGGTGAGTAACACCTGTTTATTGTTCTTGGTCAACTGAGATGGCCCATATGGGCACCTGGGCGGCGTTGGGGGGCAGGACTGGCTCTCCTCAGGGCTCGAGGTCAATTCTGTTCTGGGCAGTAGGATGAAGGGGGATTCTTCCTCCTCTCCATATTCCAGAAGAACGTGTGATATTATCATGATGAAATTCCGTTTAGGAAAAACAAAAACAAGGTGGGGTCAGAAGATTGTACAGGAGAGGAAAACATTTTCTTTTGTCCTGTTTGGCCAGGCAGAGGAGTTTGACAAAAATAGCTTGTTTGAATCTGAAGTAGGAAAGAAAAACATTTAAATCCATCTCTTCTTCACTGAAACTCCCCAGGAAATACATTCGGCCTTGTAAATAAATATGCTCTCCCCAACCCTGTCCAGCCTAGGAATTATTACTAGACCTTGTTCTTTCTCTGAACCAGAGAGTCTGTGCAACAATGACAACGTGATTTAAAAATCAAGTTTAATTTCTTGTGTATGTACATTCTTTCTGGAAAGATACACAAGAAACTGGTGACATTGGTTGCCTCCATGAAGGAGAGCGCATTGGCAGACTCTACTGTGTACGTATCCTTTCATATCTTTGAATTTTGAACCACATTACCTATTCAAAGGTTTTTAAAATTTTTTTTTAAAGATTTTATTTATTTATTTGACAGACAGAGATTACAAGTAGGCAGAGAGGCAGGCAGAGAGAGAGGTGGAAGCAGACTCCCTGCTGAGCAGAGAGCCCCATGCAGGGCTCGATCCCAGGACCCTGAGATCATGACCTGAGCCGAAGGCAGCGGCTTAACCCACTGAGCCACCCAGGTGCCCCTTAAATTTTTATTTTTAAAAGAATATAGAGACAGGGGCGCCTAGGTGGCTCAGTGGGTTAAAGCCTCTACCTTCGGCTCAGGTCATGATCCCAGGGTCCTGGGACTGAGCCCCGCATCGGGCTCTCTGCTCAGCAGGGAGCCTGCTTCCTCCTCTCTCTCTGCCTGCCTCTCTGCCTACTTGTGATCTCTGTCTGTCAAATAAATAAAATCTTAAAAAAAAAAAGAAGAAGAAGAATAGAGATAGAAAGTTGATCCAGCTGTCTGTTTCCCAGGCCTGAAGAAACAACAGACTCAGAAGCATACCAGGTACCAGGCTAGAAGATTATCTTCTGGAAGAGTATCTTCTGGTAGGGGGCGCCTGCGAGGCTCAGTCCATTGAGCATCCGATTTTTGATTTCAGCTCAGCTCATCATCTCAGGGTTGTAGGATCAAGCCCCACATCGGGCTCTGTGCTGGAGCCTGCTTAGGATTCTCTCTCTCCCTCTGCTCTACCCTCTAGCTCTCAAAAAAAAAAAAAAAAAAAAATCTTCCGGCAGGAAAAAGCTTAAGCTTATGAAATACAGAAAATAAATCTTTCATAGAGAAAATTTCTCTGAAGTTATAAAATACAACGATTAATTGAATTGGTTTGTGTGTGTTCCAATAAGCTGTATATATTTTTTATTTTCATTATGATAAAAAAACGTAAAAGTTATCCTATTAACCATTTTTTTTTTAAGGTTTTATTTATTTATTTGACAGAGAGGGAGAGCGCAAAGAGAGAGGGAGAAGCAAGTTCCCTGCTGAGCAGGAAGCCCAATGTGGGGCTCGATCCCAGGCCCCGGGATCATGACCTGAACCGAAAGCAGACACTTAACCCACTGAGCCATTCAGGTTCCCCAGGATTTCTTTTCTTTTCTTTTCTTTTTGAAGGCTGAATACTATTCTACTGTATGCACATACCACATTTTGTTTATCCATTCCTCTATCGATGGACATTTGAGCTTTTTTCACCTCTCAGCTATTGTGAATAATGCAGTGAACTTGGGTGTGCACATATCTCTTCAGGACCCTGCTTTCCAGTCTTTGGGATATGTACCCAGAAGTGAGATTGCTAGATCATGTGGTATTTCTACTTTTAGCCTTTCGAGAAACTTTGTGGTGTCTTCCACGGCAGCCACACCATTTTACGTTCCCACTGTCAGTGCAGGAGGGCTCCAATTTCTCTCTGTCCTCGCCAACACTTGTTATTTTCTGCTTTTGCAATAATGACCATCCTAATGTGTGTGAGGTGGTATCTCAGCATGGTTTCGATTTATATTCGTCTAATGAGAGATGTTGATTAGTCTTTTCATACACTTGTTGCCCATTGTTAAATCTTCTTTGAGGAAATGTCTCTTCAGGTCCTTTGCCTGTTTTTGTTTTTTTTTTTTTTTCCCCCCTCTTAGATTTTCTAATCTTTTTTTTTTTCAAGTTTTATTCTGGTATCATCTTTTTTTTGTGACACATCTGTTTTTTTCCATCAGGTTATTTATTTTCTTTTGTCAGGTTATAAGAGTTCTTTGTATATTTTGGCTCTTACCCCTTGTTAAATATATGATTCCCAATTATTTCCTCCCATACCATAGGTTCCTTTTTACTCTACTGATTATTTCCTTTGATATGCAGAAGTTTCCAGAAAGTTCCATCTGTCTGTTTTTGCTTTTCTTGACTGTGATTTTGGGGTCTTATCCAAAATCATTGTCAGATCCAATATCTTAAAGCTTCTGTTGTGTTCTAGGAGTTTTATAGTTTCAGGTCTTCAGTCCAGTTTTGAGTTAAACTGGTGAGGGTCCAGCTTCATTCTTTCACATTCAATTTTCCCAGCACCATTTATTGAAGACACTGTCCTTTCTCTACCATGTATTTTTGGCACCCTGCTCAAATATCATTTCACCTTATACCACATGAGAGTTTTATTTCTAGGCTCTCTATTCTGTCCTCTTGGTCCATATATCTGTCTGTATGCCAATAGAACATTATTTTGATTATTGTAGTTTTGTAATATATTTTGAAATCGAGAAGTGTGATGCTTCCAATTTCGATCTTCTGTTTCAAGATTGTTTTGCCATTTGGGGCCCCTTGAGTTACTTGAGTTACTTGAAACATGTTGTGTTTATTTACATGTTTCATATATTCATTACTAAAAAATGGTACTGCGGTGAGCATGGTGGGGATGGATAGTATTCAAGTGGGTACCTGTGACTGGTTCTTTTTTTTTTTTTTAAGATTTTATTTATTTATTTGACAGACAGAGATCACAAATAGGCAGAGAGGCAGGCAGAGAGAGAGGGGAAGCAGGCTCCCGGCTGAATAGAAAGCCCGATGCGGGGTCGATCCCAGGACCCTGAGACCATGACCTGAGCCTAAGGCAGAGGCTTTAACCCACTGAGCCACCCAGGTGCCCCCTGGCTCTACTGCAGACTCCCTCCTTCGTGATAACCAACCAGTTAAGTCCTGTATTAAAACCAGGGCTTAAGAGAATCTCTGGCCATTTTACTCAGTGGGTTATGTACTTTCTCTTCTTTCAGATCCCCACAAAGTTAAAAGAGGCATTGAGAATCGCCAAAGAATGTATAGAGAAAAGACTAATTGAAGAACAGAAACAGGTACATGTTACTAGCTCCTTACTGGCTTTTGATCTTTTAGTGTCCCCATCCTTTGTTGCCATATTCACGGTGACTTACCCTTGACTGGTTGTTCATTCCATAAACATTTCTTGCATCCTTGCTCTGAACCAGGCTGCATGCTCAATGTTGTGAGGTTGCCGATTACTTCACAGTCCTGTCCTCAAGGTGCTGAGCCTGTGGGGGAGACAAGCACATCCATAACACATGGTCTTCCTTTACGATTGGGGCAGGCTGGGTAGAGGTAGGGGCCACACGTTGTCCTTGCTCTGAAGGTGCTGGGAGCCACACTTGTCTTCCATCGAGGAGCAAAGGGCAGGAAGGAACAGAGGGAAAGGAGAAGGATCTTCAGCTTCTGGCAGACTCTTCTTTCAGACATCCAGACCCAGGCTTGGAGGTGACAGGCTGAGGAAGGACAAAATTTTCATCCAAAATAACTTGATTTGGCAAAACATGTTAGAGATTTTCACTGATGTAGGATACACTTACATTTGTGATGAATTGTGGTCTCTCAAAGATTCACCAGCATCGAAGACTGACAAGAGCTCAGTCTCACCATGGATCTGAAGAAGAAAGGAAAAAGAGAAAGATTTTAGCTCGAAAGGTAAGCGTGGTGTCTCTGGATTCTCTGTGAATTCTTTTTTTTTTTTTTTTTTTTAAAGATTTTTTTTATTTATGAGAGAAAGAGAGAAAGCATGAGTGGTGGAGAGGGAGAAGCAGGCTCCCCCCTGAGGAGGGAGCCAGATGGCCAGGCTCGATCCCAGGACGCTGAGATCATGACCTGAGCCGAAGGCAGATGCTTAACCAACTGAGCCACCCAGGCATCCCCTCTTTGCAAATTCTTGGCTACATGTGAAGAAAGCTGTAGGTTAATAGTGCACATTTAGTTAATGACAAGATTTTGTGCTATATCTCCTTGAAAGCTAAAACTATTTCCAGATGACTGATTTGCAGCTTTTAAAAAAGAGCCGCATAATATCAGTGGAGAAATGGACCGTATAGTTTCCGGGCTTGCTGGGATGATTACAGCCTAATGTAATTGCGGAGAATGACTGGCCTGAGATAGTAAACTCAGTGTTCTTGGTTTTATTCCCCTTTTTGGTTGTGGCTCGTGGCTTCTTAACTGTATTAAGTTATGAGGCCAAGTATGACCTCATATGTAGCTAGTTTCACTGTGTGCCTGGAAAATATTTGTGTTCTAACTCTTGGCTTCAGTGTGTTTATTCTTTGCTGCCCTCCATCTCTCTCTCTTATTTTTAAAGAAGTCAAAACGATCTGCGATTGAGAACAGTGAAGAGCATTCAGCAAAATACAGCAACTCCAATAATTCAGGTAACTGGTTATAGACTGTAGTGGGGCCTCCGGGCCCAAGGGTCAGGACGAGGAGTCAAGAGGTTTTGGCTTCTAGTGGCCAGACACTGAGCAGTGTAGGGAACAAGAGAACCCTGCCCCTAGTAAAGAATTGTGACAGCATTCACAGGCTCACAGGACTCAAGTGCTGAAGAATCCTCAGGTTATGGGGTAACCCAGCCTCTGCACTGATGGTGAGACTTGATCAAAGATGGGCATGAGGCATGGATGAAAAACCAACCCAACTAACAACACGAGGCCTCCTGTTTGTTAGTAGAACCTTCTCGAATAGAAACGACCCTGCGTCTTGCCCTCTACTCTGGTCCCTACATGGTGGGAGGAAGTGCCCTTATACAAGGGTTAAGGAAAGCACTGAACAGTGTGTGGGTGTGGTGGCGGGGGTGGCAAAGAGCATCATTCCAGAAGGGCTGGGGTGGCACAGAGCATGGTTCTCTCACCCGCTCCTGGCTGCCCCTCACCCAGCCCCGCTGGCTGTGGACCTTAGTATCTCCATCTTCGGAAATCAGGGCTAGACTGAAAGATCCTTTGGGGACTTCAGTTTTTCCACCTTATGCATCCTATGAATCTTTTTTTTCCTTCCACCTTATGAATCTGTGAGGTAGAGTTCCACATAGAGAGGGCATGGCTTCATTCGAACCCGCCCAGCTTCAGCTTAGCCTGGAGGGCCAAGGAGAGGGGAGGTTTTGTTAGGTTGAGGGATAGCTGTGTATACTTTGAGGTGGGAGAAGGGCTGAGCAGGAGGGAGAAGCTGAAGATGTGCAAGAGAGAGTGACCGGGAGGCCAGAAGGCCAAGAGGTTAGGCTCAGGAGCCCAGCTGTCAGCCTCACCGAAGAGGAAGCTCGTCCATCTCTTCCTGGGAGGCAGGAGCCAGGAGAGCTGGATAAAGAGGCAGAAGCATTTAAAAGTGGAAGGAAGGGAGGACATGGAGGGTGTTCACAGCTCGTGCCTGCTCGGGTCTTCCCCGCGCAGTCAGTGAAGAGATGCCTGCCAGGGCGCACAGGACGCGAGTCCTGGACCAGCCGCAGCCAGAGATGGCAGGCGGTGCAGGTGGGGCTGGAAGTCGGGAGTGGGGCTGTCAGGGAAGGTCGTGGACTTCAGGAAGAGGTGGGAATGTGCTGACACCACTGCCTGCAGACTTGAGCTGCAGAAGGGAGAGAGGTGGAGAGGCCCCCAGTGAAGACCAAGGCCGGCTCCTCAGGGATAGTGGCTACTGTGGCCAGTGGGCAGTTCCAGAGTTAGAGGTCTCCTTTCTCCACAGTTGATGAAATGGATATGGGCCAGTCTTCATCAGCGTTAGGCTGAGACTCCTGTCTCCACCCAGCATGTCGGACAGATACTCTTTCCAGTGGCTCATTCCTTAGAAGGCAGAGAAAGCCTGGCTCAGTGTTCTCCACCTTCCTGAGGCCCTGCCTGCCTGCAAGGCTCTGGGCCCCATGCACCCGGATGAGACTCCACGGACTCCCAAGACCCCACCACACCCTCAAGAAGTTCAGGAAAGCCATGTAGCCATTGGTGGAAATGGACAGATCATCTCCAGACCCCACTGGAATCACAAGTGCGATCTTCTCCCCTTTACATATCTCCGTCAGCGCTGGAAAGCGATGGAAACACAGGATGCGTTGGGTTTTACCTCATTTTTCAGTAAAACACCTCTCCTGTTTATAGGGAGGTGAGAGAATATTGCGAACAGGGAAAAGCTACTCCGCTTGAGGGAGATGTGGTTTAACTGGGACGTTTCTCCTCACGCCCAGTGTCCGTGCTGTGCCCAGCCTGTCCTGTGGGTGGTGGGTGAGGTGATGGTTGGAGGCTTCTCAGAGGCCTGATCGCGGCCCTCCCTGGAGCTTTGGTCACTCACTCCAGAGGACCTCTGTCGTGGGGAGGGGGCTTCCCATGGCCACAGAAAGGCTTATGTAGGAACCTCTCTGTTCTTTGGGCTGCTTTCATGTCAGGCCAGCAGGATGTTCTCTGGGGACTCCTGAGCAAAGGGGAGATGCTGCGAATATGGGAATATGCAGGTTGTTTTAATGGAAAAGAAGGTTCTTACTGGATTTCATCTAAGAAGAGGCCTGGGTGATCCAGAAACCAAACAGGTTGACCCTACCTAGTTGAATGTAGCTGCTGATTAAATGGAACTTCTACAGAGAGCACTGCTAGTTGGATGCTGTGGAGAATTCTTGCTTCCTCTAGAGTGGCTTCCCCTGGATGGCTTGTCCCCTGTACCACTTGTGGCCACTGTCGTTTGTCATTCATTATGCAGAGACAGAAGCTGGGTCAGGAGGAGATACCATAGCCAACTGCACAAGCCGTCGACAGCTCAGAGTTGGTTTCAACCCAGGCAGGGCGTAGAAGGCAGCGGGTGGCAGGGAGCCCTTAGTGGCCTGGGGATGAAGCATACCCTGCACCCTGGGGGAAACCTGAGGTCACTGGGTCCAGGCTCTGAATTCTCTGTCCCTCCCCACCTTTTACCACAAGACCCACCCACTCAGCCAAGTGCAGATTCTCAGACAACAGTGGGTGCCCCGCTCAGGCCAGATTCCAGATGTCTGTCTTTGGTCCCCAGGAGGATTTGTCTGTGTTTTTTCTTAGCAGGATCTGGGGCCAGCTCACCTCTCACATCCCCGTCGTCACCGACTCCACCCTCTACAGCAGGTGAGTGATGAAGCCACAGTCCCTACCACGCTTCTCTCACCCAACAGGAGGAGGAGTGGGGCCCTTTGCCTTCTGGCCCAGGCACAAGTGTCGCAGGGGTCAGCCTTCTCCAGGGAACCCCAGGGGAGTGCACACTGGGAGAGCTGACGGTCTCGGTGTCCCAAGTCCCACTTCACAGGGAGTGGAATAGTTGGTTTCAGAGGCAGCAGCCACCCTCCACCTCCAGCCTGCTCTTGTGCTGAAAGGCCTCATGCTGGGGTCCTCAGATCAGGTCTTGACGCTCCCTGGTGGTCTAGTGGTTAGGATTTGGTGCTCTCAGATCAGGTCTTGTCCCAGTACGTGCTGAGCCGATTGAAACAGTTGTGCCACTGCTGGGTCGCCTTGTCCTGCCACAGCTCTCCCCTTGGGGAGCCCAGCCACAATGTCGTTTTGTCACCGAGCAGCACTGGTGAAATGCCCAGGTGTGGGAGCGACAGAACCACCCAGCTTCTGCTTTCCTGGTGACTGTTGGTTCTCTCTTCTGCTCTGTAATGTGTTTACTTGCCAGGGTAGTTTTCTGTGACTAGTCTTTGTTTTGCCCTTGTGAATTCAATCAGATTACCATGAGTTTGGTTTGAAAAAAACATAGAATTGATCTTGGGGAATATTTATAAGAATAGTCTCTAATTCTTTCCCTCTTTCTTTTTTGAATTAGTATCTCTTTTCTGACCATTTTGCATGCCTCAGAAAAACACACTGGGGAACCAGTATTTCTTTTCACTACTTAAGGGAACCAGGTGTTCTCAACATCAGAGGAACTGGTTTTGCCTTTCAGAGCCTGTCAGCTGTGCTTGGAAGAGTTGCTGCAGCTGTCTGGAGGGAGGGTCACTGCCTGGGGTTGATTTATGAGTTGACAGTTCCATATTCATCAAGGCCTAAGGCAGCACCCAGGAGCTATCAAGAACGTTACCCATCTGCTCTCAAATCTTCTAACTGACCTTCCTGAGAAAATGACAAGCAAGTGTAAAGGGAATAGTTTGCACAGCTTACTTCTGGCTGGTGGTATCTCCTCTTGCTGACTGAGGATGGTTCCTGGTGGCTTGCTGCTGAGTGTTCTGGGCCAGGACCTGTTTTGAGGAGCCAAGTACCTGGTTCATGGGAATGATATTCTTTTCCCTGGCCGACTTTATAAGCAGCTTTTACAAGAAAGCCCCCAAGTATTGTTCAAGAAAGAATACAGTCTTCTCTCTCTTGTGTAGGGGTGACTTGTATAGGCTAGTCAGAAATTTCTGGGGAAACTCCACTGCCCAGATCGTGTTGAGCCATTTAATGGAAGAAAGGATATTAATTTTACACCACTTAGACATTTGAAGGAAATTGAGAGAATAAAGAGTGAGAATCCATAAATGCTTCTTTAATACACGGGATGTCTCTTTAGTTCTACAGAGCACCTACTGTATGCATTAGAGTGGTTGTGGGAAGTTAACTTCCAGTTCTCATTTTTAAATGCCTTGGGGAATTCTCAATCTATTTGAATTTTTTCATGAATCCTCTGATTTTACCTGCGTTTTGAATTCGAGCTGGCTCATACTGTAGCAGGTGAGACGAGGACATTTTTAGAATGAGAGAAGAAGGGATCTTTTGTAATTGGAGACAATGTTGGAAAAACGTTGAGTTGAGTGGGAGCGGCAGGGGGCGTTACTGTGAATTTGATCGGACCTGTTCTGAAAGGGAGTTGTAAGGATTGAGCGGGAAAACATGTGAAGACCCTAGCACAAAGCCTGGCAGAGGTGGTAGGTTCCCAGCAATTATTGGCTCCTTTCCTTTATCTCGTCTCACTGTTTGTTGATGAACTGTCTCGGCCCTGAAGACTCTACTCTGACCTCTGCTGGGCACTTACTGTAATACATCTCTTAAAAATGATTAGCATTCGCTTGTCAACCCAGCATTTCAGGCCCTAAACGGTGAGTTTATTCATTCACTTACTCAGGATGCGTTGAATGAGAGCCTGCAATGTGCTGGACACCGTGGTTGGTCCTGGGTTACAGGGGTGAATAGACAGGTCCCTAGCTCGTGTGGAGTCCTTTTTCCAGTGCCTCTCAAGAACTCCAAGAAATAGACATTATTAAACAAGTGCTTTCCTTGGGGTCCAACTCTGGTAATTTTTCTCCTCCCAGTATTTCCCCTCTTTCAGTAGAGAATCTCTACCTGAAAAACTAGTGCACCCGCTTCTGTTCTGTGCAAGGCAGAAGGGAGCCACAGACAGGTAGTGCTTGGTGCTGCTGTGCCCGTGTTTGCTGCTCGGTAAATCCTTGTTGCTGGTTTGCCTGGGCTTGCTCTGCCTTCAAGGCCTCTGCTGGGTGAGAGCAGACTCCCAGCCTACCGGTGGCATTTTCTGGCTGGTCGGTCCCTGCCTAGACTGATCCTCCTTCTAGGACAGGAGGCCAAGCTTCTCAGTGGGTTCATCTTTCTCATTGCTTCTCTGCATGCTGCCCATCTTGTTGCTGGAATCACATTTACTCCAATTTTTGTCTTTATTTCGAGGTCAAGTTTATCATTTAAAAAAAAAAAAAAGGCATGCTTATCTGGGAGAGTATTCAACTAACAATTCCTGCTCAAGGTAGCATCTCAAACACAACTCAATCTGGGAGCCCTTGGGAGCTATGCTTTGGGCCAGGGAACCTAAACTTGAGGGTGAACACTTGCTAGTTCTGGGACCTTGGGCAAGACAGTTGGCCTCCCTTTTGCTTCTGGTTTCTCATTTGTCAGTGAGGATAGTAACAGTGCCTGCCTACAAGAGTTTTTATGAGGATCCAGCACATTCCATGTGTATGGGGTTAGAACAGCACCTGGCATACACAAGCTCTCGCTACACTGTTCCTTATCAGGAGACCTTGATGAATCACTTTACATGTCTGAGTGTTGGCTCCCTCCTCTGTCAAAGGCAAAAAGGTCAGAATTAAGGGGAGACTGTCTCATTGTCCCTTCTAATCAAGCATACTGTAAATCCACTGGGGATCCCGTTTGCTCAGCAACAGATCAACTTAGGCAAGTTCCGTTGGCCACATTGTCTTCCTCCTGAAAAAAGTCAGCTTTAAGCACGTTCGTGATAGCTGACAGTGGTCTTAGGCTCCGTGACTTTTAGTGTGCAGCAGAAGGACATATGATACAAGCTAAGCGATCTGCCTCTCATGAGCTCTTTCCAGCAAGCAGGTAAGGGCTGGGGCCTCCCCCATTCCTTACTGCCCCTCCTGCCATGGCTCCTCTTCCTGAGGTCCTTACCAGATTGATGGAAGAAATGCCATTTCCCTAGGTCTGATGTTCATTCCTTTGGGAGGAGTGAGATTATCTAAAACTTCTGCTTCAATTCTTATATTTTCAGTGAGACCATTCCTTTCTTTTCTGCTGAAGGTTATACTTCCTGCCTCTGGAAAGTCACTCTTTCAAGAGCTTTAAAATTCTTTGTCCTGACTTATTTCATGGTAAATATCACCAACTTGTGTTTACACTTTGTATTCCTAGAACTGAGTAGTTTAGAAGGTCCCAGTTTAGACACACACACACACACACACACACACACAAATAAATACACCCTGGCACTCTCTTTGGGAGTAGATAGGCCTGTTGTCTTGCTATTGTGTGTGTGTGTGTGGTTTCTTTTTAAAACAGGTGTGCAAAAGAGTGTTTTGGGAAAGCTAAATGAGAAGAGACCCTCAATTTTTGTTGTTTTTAATAAGCACATCTAAAATATTTTAGGCATTTACTTTGTGCAAGGCAGTGTTCTATGTAATTTAAAGTCATGGTTTGATTTAATCCCCATGAATACCTTCCTTTCCAATGAGAGTAGTTCCTACTGAAGCTCCATTTTATTTTTTTAATTTTTTTTAAGATTTTATTTATTTATTTGACAGAGATCACAAGTAGGCAGAGAGGCAGGCAGAGAGAGAGGGAGAAGCAGACTCCCCGTTGAGCAGAGAGCCCGATGTGGGGCTCGATCCTAGGACCCTGAGATCATGACCTGAGCTGAAGGCAGAGGCTTTAATCCACTGAACCACCCAGGCGCCCCTAAAGCTCCATTTTAAAGGCAAAGAAAACAGAGGCCCTAGTGAGTTTAAGGGATTTTGACCAAGGTCACACAAGTGGGGGATGCTAGAGCCAGGATCCAAACTTGGTTCCGACCTTGCGCATTTACTGGGTTGGTTTTTGTTAAGATCTTATTTATTTATATGACAGCAATCACAAGTAGGCAGAGAGATAAGCAGAGAGAGAGGAGGAAGCAGGCTCCCTGCTGAGCAGAGAGCCCGATGTGGGGCTTGATCCCAGGACTCTGGGATCATGACCTGAGCCCAAGGCAGAGGCTTTAACCCACTGAGCCACCCAGGTGCCCCTACCGGGTTGGTTTTGATCGAGTGCCTGTTCTCTCGGGTGCACGGTAGGGTGTGTGCTGTTAAACACTGTTCTGTGGCCTGAAAAGAGCCCTGAAGGTAGAGTCGGAGCACTCTGGGCCAGAGTCCTCGCTCTGCCACTTTACAGCTGAGACCTTGGGTAAGTAATTTCCATTCTCTGAAGCTGACTTCTAAAAGAATTCCTGGTCTTTATTAGGTCGTGTACACCACAAAGCTTTATAAGCGGTGACGTGCTATAAAGTGGAAGCCATGAATGACCCGCAAGAGAACTCTAGTCCTTCTGCTTGCAGCTAATAATTTAAAGGAGTCATTTTGGAGAGAAAGCTGGCAATTCATAGAAAACTCAGTGTGTCAGAATGAGTGGGGAGAGAGGGAAATTTCAAATCTAGAGAGCTGGACGAGGGAAAACAGAGCCTTATGGGCACAGAGTGACTGAAAGCTTGAATAATAGGAAGGATGGTTGAGAATAAATAAGACACAAAAAAGAGATATATTTATTTAGAATGTTGGGAATTTCCAGACTGTGTCTGGCCAGGTGAAAGTCTGAAACCCATTCTTGGCTCAGAATCCGTGTCTCCAGCCATAAGAATTGCTTCTTTTTCTCGAAACCTCCAC